CCCTACTGACTTTTATAATCTTCTATAATTTGAAAATTTATTGCATTCCGGTCCTAAATTCTTATCTAATAAATATCATTTTGCCAAAGTTTATATTTTAATTTATTTTCTCTAAACATGGTCAGATGGTGGGCTATACCAATCACCCTATGTCCATCTATCCATAAAGAATTTTTGTTACTGCTCTTCCTTGGCAAGTATGGACTGGATGGATCTTTCTCGAATTTCATTTGTAGATTTCCCTTGCTCCCAGTTATGCCCATTTGATTTTGGGACTGATTAAATAATGCAAAATGGCTGACAGACGACAGTCTATGATTACAATGAAAGTTTGTTGTCACTATTTCTTAAGAAGCAATGGTTGGATCTTACTCACGTTTCGTATGTAGGTACCTCATGGTCCTTAGTTATACCTGTTTGATTTTGGGACGGATCAGGAAAAGAAAAATGGCTGGCAGTTGACCATCTTGATTTGGCAGTTAAAGATTATTATTATTATTACAATCATCATCATTTTTTTTTCAAAGAACAAATAAAAATCAAATGATGCTGGGCACCAAGATCACCTGGGATCTCTTGATCATAGGGAAATCCTTGTTATAAAAATACGTAAGATTGGTGTGATAGCCTGTTAGTTGTATTGAGGACCAACCTTTTAAGGACAGGTCAACTTTGTATAAGTTTGTATATATATATATGTACTTGTTTATTTAATACATATGACTGTGTATGTTTTTTTTCAGCCTGGTGATTTCGTACACACATTAGGAGATGCTCATGTGTATGCAAATCACATTGATCCCTTAAAAGTACAGGTAATTTATATTTCTTTTTCTATGATATTAGTACATGATTTTTCCCGAATTTTTCTTTGTGCTATTATGGTTGAACATCAACTTAGAACTCCAGGTTCTGTAGGGATACCACAAAGAATTCAATTGGTAATTTGTGTAGAAGTGACAGACAGGAATCTGGTCTGTAGGATCGAGTTATTTCAGAAATTAAGGGTCAAGTAAATATTTCACTGGGGTAGAACACTTCGTCAGAAAATATCAGAACAACATCATTCATTTTGTAAAGAACATTGGTGTATTTAAACATATTTACTTCGATTCTAAACACGTTTGTTGAATTGGTTATATGAAGCATTATTGTTACATTTAACAAATACAAGGAGAAATTCTTCAAAAATTTCATAATCCAAGATGTTGATCATTACAAACTCCACAATGGTTTCTTTTCAGCTGGCTAGAGAACCAAAGCCATTCCCAAAATTAGTGATCAAAAGACAAGTGGAAGACATCGATGATTTCAAATTTGAAGACTTTGAAATTGTGGGCTATCAACCTCACCCCAAAATTGAAATGAAAATGGCGGTGTGATTGGGACAAAGCTTTGCATGTGGAAAATGTACAATTAACAAATTTACAAGAAAGCTCATAAATATGGGAGATCTGAACTTTGAAACATGATAGAAATCATTTCTTTGTATCTTTAATTATACACAGTTGTCTGTTAATTATGTCCTGTACTAAATTTATTGTTAATCTTATATACAGCATGTATATGGTGTTCGTACCCTGTTTGTGTGATGACGTACTTTATAATGTACCTGTATATCAATGCAATACCATTTGTGTTCCTCACATTAAAGGAGATTTTTGTACTTTTTTTCTCCTGGTTGCTTTTTTTTTTTCAAAATCAGTACAAAGGGATCCTCTGTATGGTCATCTAATGGAAAAATTTCATAGCCTATTTCTGAGAAAAAATAGTTTTTTATAAAAATTCCACATGATGGCGGTTGGCAGCAAAGTTTTGGTTTTAACATTGCTAGTTCATAATTACTAAAAGTGTTTCAATAAATTTAACTTGTATAGCCCCGGAGAATGCTTAGGCAAAGGAGATACAACGTTCTATGTACAAAATGGATAACCCATTTTCACTAAAATTATATGTTAACAGAGTCATATTGGTAAAAAGGCCTTCTTTACTGTCTGACGGCAATTTATATACTGAGTACGTACAATATGTATTTTGGATGGGGGGTGGGGGACGATGAGTCGAGAAAGCATTGCTTTTGTTTTCAGCTTTTATGACAAATGATCAAGCAGTCACCTTTTCCCTGAACAACACCTATTTCAAACATCAAGTCCAGTAGGATTCAGCTTAATTTTGCTCACAATGGTCATGGCAAAGTCTCATTTTATGATCAGGTAGAATTACAACATGATCACCATCTTGAAAAAACATTTAAACACAAGTACCACTTGTGTCATTGAGCTGAAATTTGATGGGACTGTTAAGGAAAAGAAAAGTGACAAAGTGTTATTCCTGCCTCATCAAAAGTTCAACATAGCCATTTTATATCAAGATTGAGCAGTAATGAATTTCCTGAATAACTCCAATTTTGAGCCCCTCAAGATCCACTAGTCAGTCATATAAACTCAAATGAAATGATCCTGGTCTTGATAAGTGTTTCATCTCGCAGAATTTGTTCAAAATCGAATATGGCCGTCAAGACTGTCATCTTGAAAAACTTCTATGCCTTTGTCATAATATTGGTCACCCTTGTGATATATAGAAATTCATTCACCGATTCAATTGAAACACTGAACGATTCCTTCTTCCATGGATTTTGGTCAAACTTTATACAAAGATCAAGTATACTTTGGACATCGTTGTGTATTGAGGGTGTAAGGTCAAGGCCTTGGTGGTGATGGCATTTTAGGTCCGACAAACATTTTCTAGTTTCAGAAAAGCTTTTCTGCAGTTCTGGTGCTATTGAGCTTAAAGGTCAAAGAAAAAAGAAAATCGTTGTTAGTATTATGGTTTATTTTTTCATTCTATAATTATCATTCGTTCAGCATGCCACATTTCATCCTCATAAATAAAGCCTGGTGGCCAATATAAACTACAACACAAGGCCATATAAATTCCACCTTTATAGCTAAATGCTTGGTAGAACCTAACCAATAACTACAACACTATAACATACAACCCAACCTGCATTATAAATGAAAGTTATAATAACTCGGATGCATACTTTGCTTTGGAAAGAGATTACCTTCCAATAACCACAGTGTACAAAGATTTAGAAGTTCGAATTGATATTTGTATTCTTTTGTCAATAAAAATATGCTGGTACATGTAATAGAGATGTATAAATTTCTTGTTTCAACAAGTTTGGATTTCGGTCCTGATTTACATTACGTGTAGGTCAATATTCCCTGTCAGTGTTAAGTATTTATTTTTCTCTTAATCTGAGTGTAAATAGTTATGTAGATATAGACTGAATAATCAACAGTACGTTTTATTTCTGTGCTTTTTCAACACTTAAAATTTCAAATGTATCCTGATTCAAAACCATTACATACACGGTAATTTTTACTTTGCCGTTTATCATAGTTCAGAACTATTAAATAAAAATCAAATAGCTTTAGTATCGCATGTTGTAAGTATATTAACAATTTATTTACTCTTCACAGTAACAGGTATCACTCATGGAAAAAAAAACAGGTACAGTGAATCTGAGAGTCCATGGGACTTTATAGCAAGCACTGCTATAGTAATAACACATTAAGATAGTCACAATGAATTGAGATTAACATGAAAAATACAAACATGTTTTTCTGTAGGCACAAAACAACTAACCTGGTATAATTCACTGAGACTACCTTATAGAGCTCAGCTCTTTAGGACCTTCCTCTCTACATCATGATAAATTGCTCTCTTACTACCATTCTGCTTTGCATATCATTCGAAGATGCACCAAGTGAACCGCAAATAAGTTATTGGCAGAAAGGAATCTTCATTAAAAGACCAATATTTAAGATACATATACATGTATTCAAATTTGAAGTCCTTAAATAAAAATTTAAAGTCCATAAATTAGTAAGTAACACCAAATAGAAAAACAAGAGTTCCTCTGAACTGCATGTGTCACCTGCATAAATTATCACAGTCACCAAGAAATTGAACTGGATGTCAAAACTAATCTGTACCCTTCCAACAAGAAGCCATATACCAAATTTCATTTCTATAACTCGAAGCATAACCAAAGAAAGTCCAGAAAACAATATTCCCAGAGAATTTTCTAAGTTAAAAGGGACATTACTCTGCCCAGAAAGGTCACAGACAGCCGGAAATCGAACTTAATCTGTACCCTTCCAACAAGAAGCCATATACTAAATTTCATTTCTATAACTCAAAGCATAACCAAAGAAAGTCCAGAAAACAATATTCCCAGAGAATTTTCTAAGTTCAAAGGGGCATAACTCTGCCAAGAAGCGTTACAGACGGCCAGGAATCGAAATTAATCTGTAACCTTCCAACAAGAAGCCATATACCAAATTTCATTTCAATAACTCAAAGGATGACCCAAAAAAGAGGAAAACTTTCGTACCAACAACGCCGCCGACGGACAAAGTGATCCCTAAATGTCCTCCAGCTCTGCAGGCGACACAATAATGTAATAACTCAAAACATAGAAGCATGAAAAACAATCAAAATTAGTTAGTATTGAAAGTTTTCTGCTGGATTTACATCGATAGTACCTAAATCTGACGATATCCAAATTAGTCAGTGAAAGCTCATCGAAATCAGAATAATAATTGTGATATTTGGATCCGACATCTATAACTGTAGAAATCTGACAACTTTCTGTCCAGTTGATAATTTTATTCCAGTATTTTATGGGCAATACAGGACAACCATAACACTGTTTGTATTTCATACAGCCACCTTACATATCAGCTGATTAAACATTCCGATATAAACATATAAGCATTAGTAACATGGAGATCAATATAGCTTGTAAATTGAAAATGTTAAAAAATCATCATTCATTTACATATTGGGTTAAGTTGATGCAATTTTACAGTTTGTAGAAAGCAAAACTAAATGGTAATGAACAAATAAGACGCTTTCATGTATAAATGAGGAAAACTATTCTTAATTATTTTTTAAGACAAATATTTAGTCAAAATGTTCAAATTCTCAATATTACACATACATAGCCTCCAAAATGAAAAAAAAAAAAAAAAAAAAACAAAATATATAATGATTTGACCAAGTATCATGAATGATAAAAAAATATTGACAATGTATGTCACCAGCATGTAATAACGATATGAATCTTCTTTCTGAAAGAATTTCACAATGAGAAAACTACAATATTTCATTGACTTTGACTTTAGAAAATGGATATCTATAGATGGCACCATAAATGCACATACTACATTTATCCATCAATCAGTTTATGCCTGGTAATATGCACACAATACATATTGTCTTGTGATTAACTCACCTCCTGACTATGGGTAAGATGAAGTGTTTTGCCCCTCCCTTTGTCTTTTAAGGATACATACAGCATTATTATTTCGGCTTTTCATTAGGGCTAGGACAAAACAAATTAAATTTTCTGATACAATTTTAATCACAAACAACTTTGCCTGGAATTCTTCCTTTGATGTCTCACTAAAACAACCGATAAATAGATATAACACAATTCACTTAATGTCATATTTTATAATGTACATTTGGAATGTCAATCACTTCAGCTGCATTTCAATGAATTAAAGTCAGGGGGATACAATTGTACATTTCCTTAACAGCATCTATGTCGGTATTAAGTTATAAGTAAATGGACACTGTCTATCAACATGCATATCATTTCAGAAAATACCAAATTAAACTGTTGTCCTAGCTTTATTTATTCATCATATAACAAATTTAATTAACAAGCAAGAAAATGTTTAAATGTGCAGTTATATAGCATGTAATTGTGAAAAGGAGAGAGAGAAGAGAAAAAAATTCTGAACTTGTGTATCAAATTACAAGCCTGCAAATTTGGATAATTTTGTGTCTTGAATATTTCATTATATAACTTGCGTCTCATAAATGTTTATGTAATACATATATACATACTCATGGCAAATAGCTGATATTGTACATTTATTTATAGAGTGCAGTTAAAAAAGGCAGAGATATTGGTTTGATTAATGTTGTTGGACTGGAAAGAGTTAAGACTTTATTCAAACAGAGCTCTGGCAGTTTTCTAACAATATAGGCTGCACAAACTTACCATGCACATACTAATAGATTTTCATTTATAATTTTGGTTTTTTTTTTCTTATTTTTTGAAATCAGAATGCACATTCTAACATATGCAATATTGTGTTGTCTGAGTAAACAAGACAATTGCATAGGACATAAGTATTATATTATGACATTTATCATGTTCCTATATTAAGGGAACATTTGTTATTGTAAATTATGCTACTATTAATATATTCGTACAGAAATACAGATGTAATTTGTATGAAACGCCATGTTTTTAGGTTTGTTAACTTGCACAAGATCTCTACAATTGGACAAAAAACTCCAAGACACAAAACAATCCATCTTTTCAGTTGAAATCAGCTACATTGTGTGCATATATACGACCCTATGATTGGCTGATACTCCAGTCCTGTATAATTCATGATTTACACTATGTACATGGTCACCCACACAACCTTGCACCATTACACGCCACGTCTCCGAAACAGCCACTCTCTCACCATTCTTGTGTTAGGACATGTCATCTCCCATGTCTAATGAATCACTGCTCTGCTCACTTTGTGTCTGAAAAAATAAAATGGATAATCTGACAAAGTGTGGGAGCAACAACAAGCGGTATATCTGAACTAGTTCCCTGCTCCACTCACTCTGTGTCTGAAGAAGGTATATCTCGAAGGTACACCAAAAAATCCTGACAGAAAGGGTATTAAGAAGACACAATTCTACATGGTCAATTAACAGCAGGTCTGTATAAGAAACAACCACTTTAGAAGAGGTAAAGAGAACGATAGATCACAAGTGTTATCAGACACAAATCTTTTGATATCTTTTATTTAATGTGTAATTTATCAGATTCTGTTGTCAATAACACCATATTAAACAATATCTAATAAACACAAATTTACGATAATAGGAAGGTACCTTAGAAATGAATGTGAGAAGGTGGGGGTGTTGTTGGCACAGAAATAATATGAGATATAAAGATTTCAGGCAAGGATGTCAATCACAACAGCATCAGAATAAATTCTTCAATTTATTTGATAATTGTTGACTACTTTGCCTTTTAAATTCAAATTTTTTACAATATTGCAAGGTATTCAGGGGAAAATTTGGGAAAGACAATGTCTATAGAAAATTTTGGAGTTGAACAAAATGACTTACCTGGAATAGAGACCGGGCCATTGGGTTAGGTACCGGTCCCATGACTGGTCCAGACCACGTCCTGCCCGCAATTGGACTAGGACTGAATTGAGCCATGTCTGGACTTCCCTGCTGTGCTATTATAGAGGAATTTGGGGAAGCCAATGGTATAGGTGAATTATCCAGCTTTTGTGGTGATGCAAATGGATTTTGTTGACAATCTTTTGTTGGATTCTGGGCAAAAGCTCCACTACCAAAACTTGAGAGCTGCTGTGTAACAGCAAGGACACCTCCTTTCTCTACTGTTATAATTACCCAAATCATGTCTGGAAGGGGAAACGAGTCATTCAAATAACAGTTATTTCCATGCCAGGAAATCAAAGGAAAAGAACACATATATATCACCTAAACACACTATAATATCATTCAACAAAACACAGAACTGTGTGATATCCGGTATGGAATTCTTATATCATTTAAGAGAAGTAAAATTAGAACTTACAATGTTGTATTATTTATAACTTGTCAGTTCCCTCAACCTAAGGCCCGATAAACTGTTGTGGATGATTTATCACCTCATACATAGAGAACACATGGTCAGTGTCTTTGAAATATGCTGAATTTGGCGAGGGTGATGACAGACAAAAATGACGAGCCAATTTTGTCTTTCTGTCCCTCGCCAAAATACAGCTTATATTAAAGACACTGACCATGTATTCTATTTATCCTACAATATTGATTGCAAATCAGACTATTGAAACTTAAACAATGTTGTTCAATCTGATTTTGATGTTACACTGAATTTTGCCTAATGACTGACATCAAAATAATTACTCAATCGGATATAACAGTGGTTTTATTAACTGTCATAAATCAACTTGTTCATTACAACATGTAAAAATCGCTCATTTCAAACAGCTATTTATATTTCTAAACATAATATTTAAGTAAATTCAGTGAGTAATTCTGTCAAATTACTGCATGTGCTAAAATACAGTTGTTTTCCATAACTGCCGAATACAGCTAAAACATACCTAAAATAGAGCACTATGTGGCAAGTGTATTCCCATAATGGCATTGTCAGTTGCAGGATAAGCTGTCATATATTCCTACATCCCCAATCCTATGTAATATGTAGAACTATTTTGTTAACCTCACCTCCAAAATACATGCCGGTAGGAGTTGACATCCTCCATTGACTTTGATAAGTACCAGTTTCTGTGGGACTATGCATATTTATGCTAACATCAGCTTCCTGTCCTGCATGTAGTGCCTCCACCATCACTCGGTCTGCCTTACTTAGGTTTTCCCCAGAGCAGTGCATCAGATTACAGCCAGGTGGCCACTGTTCATCTCCTATCACAGAATAATAAACAGATAAAACTCAGTGATACCATAATCTTTTCTTGTTTTGAGATGGAATCTTCCTGTAAGAAACAGGAAAATGCTGGACTTCTGATTCAGCTTCAAAAATTCCAATAAATAAATAACCTAATTTATTTTACAACAATTGCGAAGCAAGTTTTTCCAACTTATATTAACAACTCTTGTTGGCTCGGATAAAAGAGTGTGAGGGGTCTTAGTGTGGGAGGACATCGGAGTACCCAGGGAAAACCCACATTGTCGGGCAGGTGACCACATACCTTTTCACGTCCATTCCGGGAATCAAACCCTGGATGGCTAGGTGAAAGGCGAGTGTGTTACCATTGTGCCAACCGACTACCCAATATCAAAGCACATTTGATTTTTTTTTTAATGTAACCTTTAACATAATTTGCCATTAAGGTGTTCAGTCACACAGAATACATTTACTACATATTGAGATCCTGTATTAACATGCAGCATTTGAATCAACTACAGTTTGAACCTTATGTAATAGTGTTCTACCCGAGTTTTGTATCCTCCAGGTTTTGATGAAGGTGGTATCTGGTGGAACAGCTTCACCATCACCAACAGTAACATCCCCGATGAATGTCATGGAAGGAAGTTTGACATTGGGTTGATCATACTCAAAATAGGAACCAATGGCACCTTGAAGGTTCCTGTAAATAAAACATTGAAGGTCCAACTGGATTAAAGTTAGTACATATGTAGAACACTTAAACAGTGTGTAAGGTCTGTGTAACTAACAGACTTTATCATCAACACCTCTAGATCTGCTGTTCAGTTTAGTTATTTGCATGTTAAGTATTTTGAAAAATTCCTTGATAACATCTCCAGCCACTCAGACACAAGAACACTGTCCTCTTTGCTCCTGCAACTCTACATTTAGTGCAAATTTTGATCAAATAGACTTATCTGGGGAAAACCATTATTGCCACAGCTGAATTCACATGCAGATTCTGTAATTTTGGGACAATTTAAAGTGTAGTCACACTGAAATGGTGTTACCAGACACAATAGCAAAATGCACTGCTTGGTCAAATTATACTATATCAGGCTAAGTTGTCTATATCACATTATAAAGCAGCAGAACAACAAGATGAGGTAGCAAGTATTATTCAGTTCTAAGGATTCATATTTTGTTTGTATCAGTTCAGATGGCAGTAAATATCACTTGCTTAGACAATCACAAAATTTGAATTGATAATATAAACAAAATGTGAGGTATTGCCAAAGATGACAACAGGAAATGAAAACATGACTAGATAATGCTGAAATGAAAATAAAAAAAGTCAAAGAAAATTTTAAATTATGTAATATCTTGTACAGCCCATTAGATATCTACATGTTTCTACTGATATACAGTAGTCTTTTTTTCCCCTTTTTTCGTTTATATTTCTCATGTAAGGTTCTCTAGTATATCTTTTTGTAGAATCATCCTGGAACATACAATGTTAGATGTACTGGATCTCCCTTTTCTTTGTTAAGATCTATCTAAGTTATTTTCAAATTTCCAGAGAACACAAACAAATGATCAGTACTCATATTGTAGTCACCTTAAAAACCAATCATGTGATCGATTACTTTTGCTCTTCTTTTCTCAATCCAAATCTGTTGGCTATAACCAACTGGCTGTAACCAGAAGCAATACCAGGAAAAATATTAAAAATTGAATTTCGCAAATTAAAACTTCATTTAAGAAACACTCAATCTTACAACAAAAACATTGTGAATGTAGTACCCCAAAGTGTAAACAGGCAAAAGGCTCTATATAATCAATAAATGATTACCAATACTTTGATTTTTTAAATCTTCAATGGAACTTATATACATTGCCGACACAAGTATGAAAATGATTAAAGTGATCAATATTTATTTCATAGCCATGTAGATCAATCTAGTAATCCAGAATTGCCAACTGGTAAAACAAAATATTGAAGTATAGTAAGCAACAACACAACAGAATACTGATAAAAGATGAGTGTCAGCCTTCAAAGACAGAGGTTGTTTGTTCTAACCCTCACTTGTATAGGTCAAATACTTTTCATAACTCCTCATCATTCTTATATAGTTCATGCAACTGACAACTTTAAAAAGAAGCTACTGCTGGAGACCTCTAGCTAAAGGCTTCATTGGAGATAAAAAGCCTTGGTTGTTGGCTTTAATTTGATTTTAAAAGCTTTCTGATAGAAGTCATAGAAGTTCAGATTATCCAAAATTTTGGTCTCCAGTCAAAAGGAACTTCCCTTTAGCTTAATCACAGATCATCAGCCTTGATAGTCAAAGATTAAAGTTTGAGCTTCTATGGGAAAAGAAGATGTGTATGCAAATGTGAACTCAGCACAAGTTATAGAGTGCAGTTTTCCATCAAGAAAGGTCCACGCATCAGGAGTCAAAATATTGAAATTTTTCAAGCCAGAAGCTATCAAGCTTTTCACAAATTCTCATTTATGGTAAGTATGTAATTCTTGAACACCAATATGGTCATAGTGGATCCACATTGCTGTATGTATGATATAATAAACCAACTAGAGGAATTACTGAATTATAGGGATTCCTCACTCGGACTGGTGAACATGAGGTCTGAAAAAGCCAATATGAGCACCAGATAAATGAAAATGAATTTCGTTCTTTTTGGTCATAAAGTAAAAATAAACGAAAACAGACAAAACCTGGAAATTGAGAAAGCAAATATAAATAGAAGTAAAGGTATATGTAAATATAATCCCCTTTTTAAAAGCTGTATACTATTTGTTGTCAGAGAAAAAAATGAAAATAAACAGAATGTATCCCTTTGACTGCTATAAATTGATAAGCAGTGTCTTGATTGTCCCCAGGAGTTCCTCCGCTTGCTCTAGACGGGTCACATCTGAACACTTTGTTTATGTGTCAAAATGATTATTCTCTTCTGTTCTAACAGGACAATATACCTATATATAACAATGATCTCACAAAATTGGCGCCTAATGATATATTTTCATATTTCTTCCTAAAACAACAGGTTAAGTCAATTAAGATCTCCTAACACATACCAATTGTTCATATCTAAGAAAAATGCACATCCTGCTGGTGTCAGCTGATTTGGACCCAACAATTTTTGAAAATCTGAAATCAACACTTCTCTGTCCGTTGTCCCCATGGAACTAAACTGCTGAAGCAGTTTTCCGTCAATGTCATTGTCTACATCCATTTCTGTTTCACACAAACAGTTTCTTGTTATCTTGTCTTGAAAGCAAGACGTAGAAACTCTTATTTCATCATCACAACACTGAAAATTTTCGACTCTGGCGTGTTGAGCTGCGTCAATCCAAAGCTTGTATTCTACTTTTACTATAATCGCGAAAATACGTTACAAGCAAACGCTTGTAAAACCCTTGTGAAACGTCAAGTTCGAGTTGTAAAAAATTAAGAGGAGAAACCGGAATCGAGCACGTGGAATATTCCGGATTACGAGAGGAAAATGTTAAATAAAAAGAATCAAATATTTCTTTGTTAGGATTTTTTTATTTCATTTTTGAACACATTTATAAGGAAACTGTTCTTATATTCATTCTTAGATGATATTAATACAAGAATCAAATAAAAAAGAACTTAACAATATTATTGATATTTTAATGGTTTTTTCATCAGGGACGTCCCTGTTTTCATCAACATTATTTTGCAGATAGGTGCATATTCCAATATCACATGTAAAAATAATAAAGGGAGGTCATGAACTTACATCAAACAGAACAATTACCTTGCATCAATATAAATTTTCTTCTATAGTACTTTAATATAGTTTTTTTTTTATTTCACTAACACGCCCCTGTTCTACCATCCTCGATACTCGGGGATTACGATCACATTCGCTCTCGTTCTACCTGATACGATCAATTAAACAGTAAGATATCATCACTGGAAGAAACAGCTTCACTTTCACAATACCAAACTCGAGACTTTTCAGTACTTATACATATTCCGTACCTCTATTCTGCGTCCTCGATATTCCTTATAATTCGCTTTGAGAAGATGGAAAAAATATCACAAGAATCAAGCGAAGTCTCGCAGATATGATGAACGAAGACTTAAAGTCTTTAATGTAAAACTGAGGTAGAAACTGTAGATTCCTGAAGCATTACCTACTTTGAGTCAACATCGTCCACAATCCCCACTTGTATATATGGATCCCAATATGGAATCGCTTAACACTTCTTTTAAAATGTTCTATTCTACAGACATGTGTGTCTGAATTATTTCTTTTAAACGAATAATGTTAAGGATACATATTTAGATTAGTTGTCGTCTGGGAATTTTGATCTGTCCATACGATTAATTGATTGACAGGATTTCCGTCTCCGTGACTCCTCCCATGTCCTTATATCGTCTCACCTACGAACGTCAATCTTCTGGCGACGTATTTTGTCCATACGATAATGCCGGATATTTTTCATTTTTTAAATTTTTTTTTTTAATTTCATGAAGACCAGCGAGTAGGTTAAATAAGCGGCATTTCTTCATTTCAGTTTTGTTGTTTCTGTTGTGAACTTATTTTAACATGCTACCTGTTGTACCCATGTTTGCAAACTTGATGTTTTTATTGGAGGAGAGCACAGGTACTTGACATGAACTCCCAACGAACGACTATATATGTGTACGTATCATAGTGAAATACATAGTACTATAGTGACATATATCTTCTATATATGGATCGTTGGTCGGGAATTCGTGCAGTCCCTGTGGAGGTGAGGGTCCCTGTAGAGGAGAGGGGGAGGGGGGTGATAAAGCTATCGCGACCTGTGCACAACCCACTGAGCGAGATTCAGATTTATTTCTGATTGATAATTAAATATTGCAATTCAGCCATTCTTAAAAAAATGAAAAATACCAGTGTTTACTCATCTTTAGGTTATGATTTCCTTGTGGTGGTGATCACTGTTGCGATTTATTTCAAGGTTTATTAATGGAAACCTTTCGGGTAATTTCCGAAGTTACTTGTTTTTGACGAGAAAAGTTACCAGTCAAAAATTATGTGACAATGGCATACTTGATCAGTTTTAACAAATTCGTTCCTAAAATCTGACACTTATTTTTAAAAAAGTATATACAGATTTCACTAAAACATCAAGTTTATAAGACCTTTCAACAACCAGTTAGGCGTGTCCGTTTTGGTCACGGTTAGTCTGGAGAAAAACATTGATAGGCGCTTTTGAAGATTACAAAGTAGCGACACCCAACTTAAGATCCATTGCAATATACCGTTATACGGCCTCGATATTCTTTTATTGTACATCAAAGGGTCTTACTAGTCTTTTCGTCTTGTCCACACGATGTCGCTCATGGAACCTTCAATGTTGCCATGATTGCCGTGTTCCAGGGGTGCAGTGAGCAAAAAAAGTGATCGTAACCTCTGGAGTATCAACGATGCCATTTCCCTTGCAAAGTTTTTAAGAGCACAGGACGAAAAATCTGACAGTACAACGTATCTTAGTGCAACACAATAGACTTACATCACTGAGTGGCTCCAGAATGTTTCCCATTGGCACCCGACCTTTAGAAGACCAGATCAAATTTAGTCTAAGAAACCCTGATCAAATATAGCCTTAAAAGGCAGCACCATCTTTAGCTTATGAATACTGTAATTAACAAATGTTATATGATTGCATCACATTTAATCCTAGAAGGCTGGATCATTATTGTATTTATTTTGTTCATAGTAAACTTAAATGCTTTAGTTTTAAAAGTTGTATCTGTGTAAAACTTTGCCCCAGGTTACCAGTTGTATTTGAATGTAAAACCTTGCCCCGGTTTTACAAGTTGTATCTTAGTGTAAAACCTTGCCCCATATCACAAGTTGTATCTGAGTGTAAAATGTTGCACCAGTTTTACAAGTTGTATCTGAGTGTAAAATGTTGCACCAGTTTTACAAGTTGTATCTGAGTGTAAAATGTTGCACCTTTTTTACAAGTTGTATCTGAGTGAAAAACCTTGCCCCAGATTTACAAGTTGTATCTTAGTGTAAAACCTTGCCCCATATTACAAGTTGTATCTGAGTGTAAAATGTTGCACCAGTTTAACAAGTTGTATCTGAGTGTAAAATGTTGCACCTTTTTTACAAGTTGTATCTGAGTGTAAAACCTTGCCCCATATTACAAGTTGTATCTATGTAAAATCTAGCCCCATATTATAAGTTGTATCTGAGTGTAAAAACTTGCCCCATTTTAACAAGTTGTATATGAGTGTAAAATGTTGCACCAGTTTTACAAGTTGTATCTGAGTGTAAAAACTTGCACCATTTTTACAAGTTGTATCTGAGTGTAAAATGTTGCCCCATATTGCAAGTTGTATATGAGTGTAAAATCTAGCCCCATATTATAAGTTGTATCTGAGTGTAAAAACTTGCCCCATTTTAACAAGTTGTATATGAGTGTAAAAGTTTTCTTTAGTTTTTCAAGTTGTATCTGAGTGTAAATCTTTGCCCTCGTTTTATATGTTGTATCCGGTTGGGATTTGTGCCCTGAAGTCCCTGAAGAGAAAATGCAGTTTTATCATAAAGAACTGTCAGAGGTCATACTTACAATTTCACAGACGACATTAATAAACATGACAACATATTCATAGCATTATCTCTATATGTAAATAAAAGCAAAAAGACATACTTATATTGTTTAAAATAATCTTTTATTTCAGTTTATCCACACATGTACATGACAGTAATATACAGACTCATTTCAGAAACAATCCTGAACCATATTCTAATTAAATCATCACATGTATTAATTCATTAATTGATTAAAAGGAAACAACATCAAAATATCACAGAATCATCTAGCTTGGAGTTCCCTGATATACTTGTCTGATAGTCCAACACCAATAAAATCAGATAAAAATCAACTCGTACAAAATTTAGTGTTTATCTATTAAATTTCTTAAAGATCGATGACATGTGAAATAATTATTAATTTTATACAGTATGGTTATAATAAGCTGGTGAACTGCATATAAGTATTGCTTTATGTTTATAAAAATATTATCGAAGTAAAAAATGTTTGTAAAATGTTGAAAATAATATCTTTTTTTTATAAGTATACATACTCGACCAGAGTCTAGCACAAGTCATTCAAAATAAAATCATGCACAATTGTGTGAATGATCTAATAACTATTTCTATATCTATCTATCAAGTGAAAATCTGTGACTAAACTATAAATAAAAGTATCCAACAAAACCCCTTCAATCTGATACTAAGATTAGACAAAGTTTCAGTATACACAGAATAGACAAAGTTTCAGTATACACAGAATAGACAAAGTTTCAGTATACACAGAATAGACAAAGTTTCAGTATACACAGAATAGACAAAGTTTCAGTATACACAGAATAGACAAAGTATAAGTAAACACAGATTAAAAGTTTCAGTTTACACAGAATAGACAAAGTTTCAGTATACACAGAATAGACAAAGTATAAGTAAACACAGATTAAAAGTTTCAGTTTACACAGAATAGACAAAGTTTCAGTAAACACAGAATAGACAAAGTATAAGTAAACACAGATTAAAAGTTTCAGTTTACACAGAATAGACAAAGTTTCAGTATACACAGAATAGACAAAGTATAAGTAAACACAGATTAAAAGTTTCAGTTTACACAGAATAGACAAAGTTTCAGTATACACAGAATAGACAAAGTATAAGTAAACACAGATTAAAAGTTTCAGTTTACACAGAATAGACAAAGTTTCAGTAAACACAGAATAGACAAAGTATAAGTAAACACAGATTAAAAGTTTTAGTTTACACAGAATAGACAAAGTTTCAGCATACACAGATAAGACTAAGTTCCAGCATACACAGATTAGACTAAGTTCCAGCATACACAGATAAGACTAAGTTCCAGCATACACAGATAAGACTAAGTTCCAGCATACACAGATAAGACTAAGTTCCAGCATACACAGATAAGACTAAGTTCCAGCATACACAGATAAGACTAAGTTCCAGCATACACAGATTAGACTAAGTTTCCATATACACTCAGAAGATACTTATCCTTCCAGAAAGTCTGGTGTTTACTCCGTGTAATTTTTGGGGTTTTTTTTTATATTTTGCTGATTAGTATTGGGATAGAATGATGTTTTGTTTTAAATCAAAATTTTTACACAATGATGGAATAAATCGGACATATGAATATTCAGAAAACCAGATTTGGCAACTAGATTTTATTTCACATAAATGCAACTAAAAGAAATTCTATGTAAAGATGAATTAACACAGATTAGAATAAATTACAAATGGAATTAGTTAAACTCTGTTTTGAAGGCACTTCAGTGGACAAAATGATGACAAATAATAAATGAATGACAGCACTTTCAAACAATAAAAACAACAAAGTTAGTCATGAATCAACTCATACTGGAATTTTATATTACCAGCGTAAAATATACATACCAAGATAATTTGGCAAATTACAGACCTCCACTGACATACCACTTCACCATAGTAAAGCCATACACCAAGTAGAAGTTCAAGTGGCTAATAGTGTAGGAGATAGAGCTGAGACAACTTTTCCTTCATGTAGGTCAAAGGTCAAAATTTAGGTCAGAATGACCTACTTTGAAATGCCCTACATTACCTTACCCAGGTGAACCTATCTCCCAAGTATGAAGTTCCAGTGACTAGTAGTTTAGGAGATAGGGCCCGTAAAAGCTTTTTTCTTTGATTTAGGTCAAAGGTCAAAAGGTAAAAGTGACCTACTTTTGATACGTGACTCATATCTCAAGTATAAAGGTCTTGTGATTAATAGTGTAGAGACATGGGGCAAAGAAAAAATAGCAGAATGATGGAATAAAGGAAGGACGGACAGACATAATGCAAAACGATAGTACCCTCCAATTCCCAGTGGAGAACCAATAAGTAGATCACTTGTTAATTTCTAGGCAGACGATAGGATTAATCCATGAAATTTTGTTAAAGATTTCTCTGCTCTTGATGTAGGTCTTGACTCCACGACAGTTGAGACAATTTCTGACTGTGGGCAAAATACGTTATTTCATCTTATACTAATCACTCTTGTTGGTACGCACAGGAAGGGTCTTATTGTGGGAGGAAATCTGAGTGTCTAGAAAAACTGATGTTGTCTGACAGTTGACCACTTACCTTTTCACGTCTGTCCCAAGGACCTTACCCCTGACGACTAAGTGAAAGGTGTCACCAATGGTCACCTGACCAATGAAGTTCCCCAGTACGACTATGAAATCCATTCCCCGTCCTCCAACCACCCATTTTTAAGCCTTGTTTTATATGTAAAAAGGAAACAACTAATTTTGCAACAATGTTATATGTTATAAGCTGGTGCAGATTAGTATTCAATGATTGTTTTCAGAAAACACTTCACTTATTAACTTATACTTAATATATATTACAATTTAATGATAGTACTTCTTGAAATATGTTCATGGGGTTAGTAATGTCAATAGAATAAAAGTTCTTACGACATTACCAGTAGAAGATTTGTCGGACCAATGACTAGTGTGAAGTGTATTAGTGTATGTAATACTACTGTTTGTGTTTTAAGATCTTCTTTTGCATTTAGTTCACCAATAACTTTTTCTGAGAGGATTTATTCTCACCACTATAATTTTTATCAGAAACACTTTAATTTTTATCATAAACACTTTCATTGTCATCAGAAACACTATCATTTTTATCATAAACACTTTCATTGTCATCAGAAACACTATCATTTTTATCATAAACACTATCATTATCATCAGAAACACTATAATATTTATCATAAACACTATCATTGTGATCAGAAACACTATCATTGTCATCAGAATCACTATCATTGTCATCACATTATCATTTTTATCATAAACACTATCATTTCATATAAAAAAAACAACTGTCATTTTCACCAGAAAACTATCACTTTTATCAGAAAATGACTAAAACTATATAAATAACAGAATGGTACAAAATGAACTAGAATTAAAATAGTAAATCGGATATAGCATAGCAAGTATGCAAATTAAGTGTGTGAGAACTACACAGAGTTTCAAAATGTTTGATGAAAACTGTACTGTAGAAGTTGTCAAGATAATATCCTGTACACAGACAGACAGATGAACAGACTGACAACCTGATTCCAGTACACTCTCTCTAACTTCCTTGCAGGCAGTATAATAATGGTAACAGAAAGAAAACCATATACACCCTTAAATATTAGCATAACACAGGGCAACCTTTAAACTTTAACATGACATCTTTTGGCACTTGCACTTTAACATGACTTAGTGTGACTATTTCAACATTAATTTAACATGACATGGTATGACTTTTTCAACATTGATTTAACATGACATGGTGTGACTTTTTCAACATTAATTTAACATGACATAGTATGACTTTTTCAACATTGATTTAACATGACATGGTGTGACTTTTTCAACATCAATTTAACATGACATGGTGTGACTATTTCAGCATTGATTTAACATGACATGGTGTGACTATTTCAACATTAATTTAACATGACATAGTGTTACTGTTTATGAAATAATGTTAAAACTGTTCACAAAATGTGTTTAATTCCACATTACATAATACACTATTTTGAATGTTACCTGAACATTCTAGTTTTGAAATATTGCATGCAATATATCAAAATAAATCACAAAATGACACAAGTGAATTTGAACAATCTAATGAGTAATTGATTGAATCCTTAATTAATGGTGAAAATCCATGCACTTGCCATCCAAACAAAAAAATCAAACAATGAATATCAAATGTAAAAATTTGATTAAATAAAGAATTTAAAGCAGTCTATTCGTGATTTTCTAAAACCCAAAATCACTCTCTGTTCAGTAAGCAGAAATCAATATATGTTTGCAATGGACCAAATTTTGGAAAAAGATTGAAAATTGTTGATGACCAGAGCACTAAATCAATGAGAGGACATACAAAAGATCCCACTGTTAAATCTGTGACTGTTGGCTCAGTATCTCCCAAACAAAGAATTATGAGGGATTCCATTGCCAAGGATCTTGTTTAAGAACTGGTTCCACTTGTACTCCCAGTTGAAAATGGCCTTACTCTTCTCCTCCCGTGACAGAGCACTGTGTCTGTAAAAATAAAAACAATGCGAGCATCATACAGTAAACAAACTTTGATGAGAAAATTAAGTAAACTGGCCAAAGTTTCGAGAATTTTCCTTAACTTGGCGAGTTTTCCTTAACTTAAAATTGCCCATAAGAAAATATTACATAAGTTAAGGAAATTTCCTTCAATCAATTTTTCTTTAACTGGGTAATGCTTCTCTTAAGATTTCCTTGGGCCTGGGAGTACATTTAGGCATATACACTAACTATTGGTAAGCATAATCAAAGAGAGGGCTCTACAGGGTATAATGGCTATATATTAAGTTTATCGATAAGCTGAAAACTATTTCACCACTGATGACAAGTATCTATGAATCCATCATTTTGAATTTCTATTCCTATTCAGAGCTGGCATCTCCTAAACTAAAGGTGGAAAGTAAAAAGCTGTTCAGAGAATTCTGTCTGAGAAAGGAGATTCATCAAAGTCATTCATTTCTGTCTGGCCTAGAAAGATATATCTCGAGCCACAAGCAAGATTTTGTAAGCCTACAACAAGTTTTCTTCATCTACATTGCAAAGAGGTTAAAGATTATATTTCAACAATGCATCAAGACATAAGATAGGGAAAAGCATGAAAGTATCCCCTACACTGTTTAAAAGACACACAATATAGATAGAAGTACACAGTGGGTGGCAATGGGTGATATTTTTGTTCATTAGTTTACCCCATTATAACGGTTTAAATAAATGAATAATAAGTGGACGATATGGGATTTAATTTTTTTTCTAGAAACTGTTAAATTTGTAATTTTGCCAAATAGTTTCTAATCTGTTTCCATGGAAGCAAGGAAAAATGACAACCCCTCCACTACAAAAGTCACACCACTGAAGTGATAGAATGATAAGTGGACAAAGTTTTACATATCTTGAACAGTTTCTTACTTCAGGAACAGCAAAAATTTTAAGTTTGGCCTTTATCTATGGTAACCGAAAAGCAAATAAAAAAATGAGAACTCCTCCGTTGCAAATGACACAACCCAATACTAGCTTGATAATTGTAAAAAAGTTCCAGGTAGTTATTTGTAATAGTTTGGGAGTCATGCTCCCATCAAATGAAATTTGTAATTGCAAAAGGCACTACTAGAGTAATAGCTTTATAACTGTATCAATGCTTGAGTAGTTATCAGACAGAGCCCAATTTAACATCCACTAGAAAAGCGTTTCTCAGGGGAAAATAATAACCACTGCTTGATATTTGCAACATAACTAATGCCATTATCCAACTGGGTCATGGCTATTCTGCATGAAGTGATGATATAACATTATTGTGATTAATGATGGTACATTTAAGCTGGCTTTCGCTTGGTAGGTTAAGGACGATTGCATTTGCCAATTGCCAAAGAAGCTAAGCATAATGACATCCAATTAATTCTGCAAGTTCTGTTACTTACTCTAAAGAATTGATGGCCAGCTTTTTCAACATTGCCAGGTCTGCGTCAGCACCAGCAAGGCCCATGAACGCCATGTAGAAGTCATAGGATAATCCCCGAGCACCCCAGACAGAGGGATCATCTGCACTGATTACCACGGGGAAATTCTCAGCGATGAGGGTGGAAGCTGGATGGTTCCTCAGGTCATCCACCAATTTCAACACCTGAGTTAGATTTAACATGAAGACAAGAGTAAAGGGTTTAATGAAGAGAAGGATTTTTTGGAAGAATGTCAATTTTCAGAATTATCAAAATTAAAAAAACTGGGAATATTTCTGTTAGTCCATTGCATTTGGTATCAGATACACCTGGCTCCCAGTTATTTAGAATGATAATTTACAATGATAATCATAAAACCAGATATTATACATAGCCCTGTTACAATATTTTTATAATATTTCACTGATGAAAGACTTCCTAAAATAATACCTACTGTGCTTCATTGCTTGCAATCAATATGCTTATCAGAGGTGGACAAAATAAACATTATATCATATGTATAAGTACATAATTTACAATCATGTCAGATTTTAAATCACAAATTACATTTAATTTAAAGTATATGTCTATTTCCTTGTTTGATATCTGGTAAATATCAGATAATATTTTTAAGTTAATAAATCCATTGGTGGTAACAAGCCCACCTACATCTATTGGAGTTCCAGTAGAAATACCAGCAAATCTGTATCTTCATCATCTGATTGAACACAGTCTCCTGTGTAGATACATATATTTTAACTTTTTAACCTCCTTAATTGGTTATACATGTTTGATAATTAACCTGGTTATCTTTTTAACCTCCTTAACTGGTTATACATGTCTGATATTTAACCTGGTTATCTTTTTAACCTCCTTAACTGGTTATACATGTCTGATAACTAACCTGGTTACCTTTTTAACCTCCTTAACTGGTTATACATGTCTGATAACTAACCTGGTTATCTTTTTAACCTCCTTAACTGGTTATACATGTCTGATAACTAACCTGGTTATCTTTTTAACCTCCTTAACTGGTTATACATGTTTGATAACTAACCTGGTTACCTTTTTAACCTCCTTAACTGGTTATACATGTCTGATAACTAACCTGGTTATCTTTTTAACCTCCTTAACTGGTTATACATGTTTGATAACTAACCTGGTTATCTTTTTAACCTCCTTAACTGGTTATAAATGTTTGATAACTAACCTGGTTATCTTTTTAACCTCCTTAACTGGCTATACATGTTTTATAACTAACCTGGTTATCTTTTTAACCTCCTTAACTGGTTATACATGTCTGATAACTAACCTGGTTGGATATGGGATTAACCTCTATGGCTATTCCTTTACTTTTTACCATACTCTTCGCCACTGGATGTTTATCTAAGGCGTAACCATGACCAATGCGACTTGTGTTTAATAGCACAGCATCTATCAAATTGTTGTCTGTAGGTGTCCCCTGCCAGTCTGTTAAACAATGAAGGTCATACAAAGGTCAGAGAAACAAGCAAAGTCATATCAATGTCACAGGAATAATAACAACATATAAATATATATATATGTGATAAAAAGTGAAGTTGGTGGGGTCTGTTCTTGTGTCTGAGTTTTGATATTTAAGTCTTTATGAACATGCATCACCCCATCTCTGGTGGACCCCACTGTCATATCACCCCATCTCTGGTGGACCCAACTGTCCTATCAGCCCATCTCTAGTGGACTCCACTGTCATATCATCCCATCTCTGGTGGACCCCACTGCCATATCACCCCATCTTTAGTGGACTCAAATGTCATATCAACCCAATTCTAGTGGACTCCATTGTCATATCACCCCATCTCTAGACGTCTCCACTCTCATATCACCCCATCTCTAGTGGACTCCACTATCATATCACCCCATCTCTAATAAACTCCACTGTCATATCACTGTCATATAATTCTGTTAGCTGTCAGCAATAGACCACACAATTATCCATTGTAAGGAGTTTAAGGCAAATATACAAGTTGATTTCTCTTAACAGAAAACTACTTCAATATGGCAACAAACCTGAAATAAAAATCAAACCTTCCACAAAAACAGGGACACTTACAATATTTGCAGTTGTAATAAATTCTTCCCAGGCATTCAATTATCTTCATCATTGTTAATAAGGCACAGTCTGAAATCATAAGTACATACCTGTCTCTCCGGCATGGAAGAAGTAAGGCAGATTAATGTTTTGCTGTGAGGGATAGAGAAGGGCGTTAATGTAGTCTATAAGGGGGATCCCTGGATCCTCCTGTCCCACCAAGTCGTAGCCAACAAACAGACCTGGGAACTGTTGTAGCATTGCTACAGATTCCTTCACCTGGTTTAGTACGTCACTGGCAGGTACAAACCTGTTGTAATGTAAATTTGGAAACATTGTTTACTTCATATATGTTAGTAAATCATAGTTGTAATCATAATTATTGAATAATTCTAAAATTATTGTAAAGTTGTTTTACTTTGCAGGGCTAATATTTTGCAGTTGTCATAATTTGGACTATAAATTGGTATACATGTACTCATTCTTATAATTCAAATTTCTTTACATTTGATTGAATTTGTGCTATCTTCGATGGCCATAAATACGGTGAAATTAATTCCCCCACAAATATCGCCAGCTACATAGAAATGGTTACGACTTAAATCTGCATGCAAAATTATTGGTAACACATGTACATGTAGTAAAAACCAAAAAGAAACAAAACCAGAACACTTCTGAAATGACTTTGACTGAGATCTAACATGTCCTTATGACTTTAAGTGAAGTCTTTACCTGAGACCCGATCTAATGATACGAGCACCAGTAAAATCTGGATAGTCCTTTATAAACTGGTCCAGATTCTGTCTATATATCTCCATCACCTGTGTCTTGTTGTTGATAGTACTGCCATCCAGATTGTAGAGCTTTCAATGAAGAAAGGGAATATTTTCATTTGTTGTTACATATTAATTGTTTAAATAATAATAACTTACCGTGTCAAATTTGTAACCAACAGATGTTTGAAATACAGGACTGTATCATTATAAGTCATTGTAAAAGTAGTCATTATCGATGGGTTCAATTTGTTCATGTTTCATGGATGAATGAAAACCACAAAAAACAGATACCTTCAAAATCTATACAGAAAAGCATAGTCAGTTTTGTTTCTGTGACAAATAAAGATTTAAAGTTTTTGTAAAACTTCCCCAAAAATTGCCTTTACAATACAGTAAATAGATCAGATGACAATATCAATACCTGATCCAAACATAGCATTATCAAGTTATTTAACGTTTTGTAGGTCCAAATCAATGGCACGTATCTATGATGAGAACAATATTTAACAAGAGTACCGCAAAGCGGAACAAAATACGCCCGTGAATATCCAAAACAGCAAAGAAGCATAACACAATTTCATATCATGGTGATTAAGCCTACCAAGTTTCATAAAGATCGGCTGAAAAATGTAGGAGATCTCCGGACAAATAAAAGTTTACGCCGGACGCCGGACGGACGGACAGCGCCATACCATAATACGTCCGTCTTTAAACGGGCGTATAAAAATCAGCAGAAAATGGTTGTGATTATACATGTTTCAAAGATAATACCAGATTGTTGGCACAACTGATCTAAACAAAAATTAACTGTAAATGAATCGGTAACAAAAGTCCCCCAAACTTTCCTTACAGTCATGACTGATACTTCGACATAGGAGAAGAATGTCTGCAAGACAGGCTAGCATGCACTTCTAAAAATATTAAACAAAAACCTTGACACTGACTTGGAACAACTACTTCAATAAAAACGTTCAATTAATTCTCTGGCCAGCCATTTTGTCCAATCAGAAGACAGATGTCATATTACATACCAAATTTTATTTAAATTGAGCAATATCTGAATTTCGACCAATCAGAAACCTTAAATACGCTGCCATTTTGGTAACAATCTTATTTCTTACAACACTTAGAGAATGTTCTACAGTTATCTTTTCTACCAATTCTCAGCTGGATATGCTGAATAGAACAAAATTTATAGGTAAAAAAATATTAGCCAATCAAGAGCCAGAAAATTATGACTTTCATGCCAAATATTAAAACAAAACTTGTTTATGCATCTAAAGGCTATCAGTATTTGATCTTCAAAGTTTGGTGTCAATGAAAATTCATGAAGATGTTGAAGGAGATGTTGAAAAAGTTTCAGGCAGAAAGAGGATCTGGAAGAAAAGAGGAGGAGGAAGAGGAGATTTAATTAACTCACCTCTGGTAGTAGAGCTCTTGTTTCCAGATACTGAACATTGTCATCATGGAATTCTTTAAGAGACTCATAAAAATATTTCCCAAACACAGGTGCGTAGTTGATGAGCCCATTCGCAACATCCAAGACTCGAAGAAATTCCGTCCAAACAACATCTATTGTGGGGTAAGTCTTCACAGGATCAGGAACTACCAAGGACATACTGTTATACAGCCTAAAAATACAACACCTGTTTGGTCAGGAACTGCCCTCGATATACTGTTGTACAATCTATCAATACAACATCTGTCGGGTCAGGAATTACCCACAACATACCATTGTACAAGGTATTAAACTAACACCTGCTGAGTCAGGAACTACCCACAACATACCGTTGTACAAGGTATTAATCTAACACCTGCTGAGTCAGGAACTACCCACAAAATAACGTTGTACAAGGTATTAATCTAACACCTTCTGAGTCAAGAACTACAAACCATATAAAGGATACACATGATGCAGTCATAAAACCTACACATAAATATGTAGATACTTTAAAACAGTTTCAGTGTGACATCTTGAATACTCTTGAGCTTTTGACCAAACCACAACCAAAATGTATCTATATTGTTTCAGAAATCATTGTCTGTAAAATCACTTACAAGATTTTTTAACTTAAAGATGAGACAAAGAATTTTTAACTTTGGGACACCTTGGTTGGACATTAAATAATAAGCTTCATGTTTAGAAGTCTTTGAGACACTCTCAAAGGGACTACCTAATTCTTTTTCTTTCACCTATTTTCTCAAAGTTTTCCCCGGAAATCTCCTTTCCTTTCAAATTTAAGTCAGAAGCTGGTATGTATATCCAAATTATTTAAAGTCTTATTTGTTGATCTTGATTTTGAGGACAAACAAAAGTAGACTAAAGAGAGAACCAGGTCTGTACAATGGTATCCAAAATTTACAGGTAGGTAATATATTTTTCTGAGATTTTTATTTACTATATAAAAAAATACTGGCTAAATATTCAATTTGGTGCTTTTATTGATGAACGCAGATATTGCAAAGTTAAACCACCTGCAAATACATTATCTTTTTATCATATATATAGTAAAGTATATACTTACATTTCATCAAATTGCCCTTGATTGGGAGAATTCTGTCGCTCAGTCGCCACCAATTTCCAGGGACAACCTTATACAGCAGAGAAAAAACATCAGCATAATCTCGTATGTTATATCCATCGCCTCTCTGCATAGACCAATCTTTTATGTAAAACAGTGATAATTTCTAAACTTGAAACATCATTTCTCTCTAGATGAATATTTCACTTAAAAAAAAGCAGCTAACAAGAGATTCCACAGAGATATTGACACCCACCATTGTTTGATCTTTATCTGCTCTTTGAAAGTTGAATCTTTCCCTTCTTTTCTCTGTTTTTGCTCTTAATGATATGAAATTTGAGCATCCCTTTGCAGAAATAGCCATAACCATTACCACTAAATCCAAAATGGTCATCTGGAAGCCATTTTTTTCTGATCAGTCTCAAAGACAAAAAGGCACCAGGAGAGACCCAAAATCAAACGGACACATTCAAAATCCAAGATGGCTGCCTGTCCAATTTTTTTGTTTTTCTGATCAGATCCAAAATCAAATGGGCACATCTAGGCATCAAAGGGAACCTACATATGAAATTTGAGAAGGATCTATTCTGCAGTTCTCAAGAAAAAGTGATAACAAACTTGCAAAAGTCAAAATCCAGGATGGCTGCCTGTCGGTCATTTTGTTTTCCTGATCAGACCAAAAATCAAATGGGTAAAACTAGGCATCAAAGGGAACCTACATATATAATTTGAGAAAGATCCAATGAGGAGTACTTCTCAAGAAATAGCATTAACAAACTCAAATGAAAAAATCAAAGATGGCCGCCTATCAGCCATTTTGGTTTTTTTTTCTGATAAGTCCCAAAACTAAAACAGGCATAACTAGGCACCAAGGGGAACATACATCTGAAATTTGAGAAAGATCCATCCAGTTCTTCTCAAGAAAAAGCGATAACAAAATGCGTTTAGGATGGATGGACAGACGGACCAAGGACGTAGGGTGATTTGAACAGCACACTATCTGATGATGGTGAGCATAAAAAGAACATGAAAATAATTCAATATCAAAGATATATAAGCTAATACCAATCAAGAACTGTGGAAATGTTGTGATAAATTACACCTACCAGGATTTGAAGGAGGAGTCTGAAAGAAGTGGTACTGGATTTTATTGTTTTGATCTGTACACATGTAGCAATGTTCCATGTAGGTAACATTCTTCACTAGCCAGGAAATATCTGCCATTGAACAGTCATGCAGATGGAGAGCTCCACCTTCAACACACATATACATAGGCAAAGTGTAAAAGTCAAAGTACAAAGTGATATCATTATAATTTCCTGTCACCAGAAGTATATACATATATGTAACATATGTTACAGGCATAAAAATAACAACATTTAGTCATTTGGATATTGAGTGAAAGTCATCAGAAAATTGTAATTATTTTGATCTTTGCTACTTTGAAAAAGGTTGAGGATCATTCATTTTAACAGAATTAGTAGCCATACAAGATGGTGAAATTCATCCCAGAATATTACTGGCCCAAATATCATGACCGAGGGCCACTTGCTCATTAGGGGGAAAGTCATTAAAACATTTCAAACATTCAACTTTTGTGACCTTGCAAGAGGGTCAAAATGTCATCCAATTGGGTCAAGATATCATCAAACATGGCAGCCCTTCATCCCAGCATAATACAGGCTTGATATCAACATGCTTGGCCTCTTTGCTAATGAGACCAAGTTGTTTAAAGATATTAAGACATTTTCACTGTGACCTTGAAAGTATATATTTTGGTTTATTTGAATTAATAATCCTAATAAAGTTACCCTGAGCCTCTGAGTTATAGAAAAAGAAGCTGTTAAAAGGTAAAAATTGACACTGGATTGTCAAGCATAAGTTACTTGCCCTTTTAAACTACAAAAAAAATTAAACCATTGAGAAAAAAAATCAGCCTTTCCAAAAATATTCGGTGAATAGTTTGAACTATAGAGTGATCTTTTAAAATATTAAAAAAATATGGCTGCAAGTTCATAAAAAATACAATATCTGTACCCAATTGTTTTGTACAACAGATTATGTCTTTTCCTTTCCTTGTGACCTTACATGACAACCCAGATGTCAGATGCCCACGCTTTAATAGTTCTTATCATCACACTGGACTGATAATATCTAGGTGAATGTTTAAGACAGGAACCTATAAGGCCAAAATAATTAAACATCTGTTTTTCCGCTTTCTGCTTGAAAATAATTCTCTCAATATTGCTGATAAAAAAATTTGATTTCATATCTATGTGCTTTGATGCCTTAATTCAAAATAACAGAAATGAAAAAAGAAATACTCAACATTAACTCTCAATTGATTTTTCTCTCTTCGGTATAGAATTCTAATCATATTCAGGAACATACCTTTAAGTATTATCAAAAAATCATGTTTTATATTACCAAGTACACATTATGAAATTAATGATTTGGCCTAATGGACTGAAATAGACTATGAAAGTCTTTCTCTCTATATTAGTGGACCATGTGAGGTCTATATGTGCTCACTCCCTATGTATGTAATAACAGGGAAGCACGCATGCAGTTCTGCTATATGCCCCTTATAACAGATACAAAAAAAAACCAAAATATTTATAAAAAAGAAATTCAATACTATGCAAACGATTACAAATAATTACAAAACCTTATGCTAACATGACAACCTATAAACAGCTCCATAAGACAGCGGTCTAGGACATACTTGTAACTCTGAAATTTAGTTTTCATTGACTGAAATCTCGTCTCAGCCGACAGATATGACCAATGGACACATAGTAGTTTTATTACAAAGTGAATGGCAGATATATCAGACATATAAATTACTAGCAAGTATCTATTTTAAACTATATTATTATTATTTTTGTTATTATTTCATTTTGTTTTTTTAATTATTATTCTATATATACTTTTACAATTATAAACACATAAATGATGGTTTAACTTGTATCAGCCTTCCTGTATAGAATCTAAGCACAGGTTATCTCCCCTGTCACATTGTGGTTAAGGCTGTGATGTAAAATCATATGACCATCTGCTAGTGTGGACGGTCTCCAACCAGATAGTCGATTCCTTGTGCCTATGTAATAGTCAGATATATATCTGTTTTGTGGACTGTCGATCGATTTATATATAATTCATTTTCGATAGATCATTTATGATACGGTTGTTCATGTACAATAATTCCATGTATTGTAGTCTATTACCTTTGGGCATTGCCTGGATAATCTGAAAAACTGCGCTCTTTTCGATTAAAGGTTTTCCTAGGAAAAAGTGAACCGACGGTAGAAACGATGGACCGTTTGCTGCTCTGGAGATGTTGATTTCTTTCTGTTTAGCATCCATCAGTATTCGATTCACCTGTTGCTCACGAGCCGATAACCGTACTCTTCCCCCGATTCTAGAGTTAATTTCGCCATTCATAATTTGTTCTCTTTGTTGTAAATAAGTCGCACTGGACATTTCAACTGGAATACCAAACACATTTTCAACCACAATCACACAGATTGTGAATATTACTAAGGCCTCCATCACAAACGAATGACTCCGCGACAATACCGAAACTAGAAATATTGACCTACTAATATAGACAATATATAGTCTGTTTCAAGTAACTTCAATATTTTATCAATTATAATCTGCTTTCAAACTTTACAAGTATTTACTTACGTATTTCAATGATTTCACAATCCTTTACATATTTCATCACAATACCAAGACGTTAACCATAAGAAAATTCGTTCGTATATTAACAAGTGATGCTAGCACGAGCTTATATAATTATATTAGGTATAGACATATCCAAGTCCGTGACATCAATGAGTATAAGTCATAAATGATACGGAAATGAAGCTATAAAAATCACTCATATCATATATGTCCCGATAGGCTCATGAATTTGAGAAAAAGTACATCATCTGACCAAGACCACGTCTAGCCTATCGACTTTAAAATGGGTCTGACGTCGATGAGCTGATAGGTTCGCGGGATTTTTTCTTTTTTTCTTTTCATCAAACGAAATCATGAAAAAGAAACGCATGTCTGTGGTTATTGATTTATTTCTGTGGTAATAGACTATAAAGACCATTATATATCTTTGTCTAATATATTGGTTATCGACCTTCAGGTTTTAGGTAAAACGGAAGGTATCATTGAAAGGTATCACTGCAAAAATAATGAAATACCCCCCCCCCCCCCCCCCCACATTTTTTTTATTTTTTTTTATTTTACAGAATTATCATAACTACTCCACAACTAGATGACATGTGGCTATAGATAACTGTCTACATAAAAGTATGTCGGTTTCCATTTTGAATCTTTCCGATGGATTTTATAGGATGTCAGATATAAAAAAAAAAAAAAAAAACTTCATTTATATTTCAGTTGTTTTAAAGCGGTAACTTTAAAACGAGGTTGTTTTGATTCAAGAAGAAAGACAACAAGATGACTTGTTTGCAACAAACCCTTCTGTATGGCAAGATGACATTTTCTCTGAGCATTTTAAGATGGATGTTACAGGGAAAATATGGAATGTTATGAAACAAACATATTCTCTCTTAGCAGTCGTAATGTTTTTAAAGATTTCAAGTCAGCTGCTGAAACTATGAAGCGAGGGATTTTACAGGATGGGACCTTATCAGTCTAATCTTCCTTACTTATTTGCTAAATGATGTTGAATTTAGCGGGAAAAGATCGGCAGTACTATCCTTGCGTGTCAGTATACCCACACAAACCGAGGGTATATGTCTGGTCGGCCGAGTAACGCTTATATTTGACAACATTTTCTTTCTTTCTGTGAGTTATACAGTCGACAGAGGAGATTTTCATGTCCCTCCATTAAATCTATGATTGCTGATTTTACGTGTAATAAGCAGTCTTGTGTTCCTTGTGAGTTGATTATATATGAATCGAAATAACCAATTGTAGAAAGTATAATACGTGTTGGCGGTTTGCTGAATAGCAAAAACAATAATATTGAACACACAGTACATGCATGTTCTACGATGAAATGTCCTTAATTGGTTCTGGAGCACATCCCAATCTAATTAAAATCACACTTGTAATTCAACCCCTCTACAATACATTACAATACATCCATTTGCTCTCAGTCCCCTTTACTACGGCAAAAATAATTAAGTGTAAAGTTTATCCTTCAGCATTGTATAATTTTGAATCGTGGAAATTAAAGCGACATAAAATGTACGCGTTACAAAAAGCACAGAATTTCTTTGTTAAATCAATTCAAGGGTTCAGTTTGAGAACTAGAACAGATAAATGTACATCTCTAATCGGTTGGTTTTCAATTGAAGTATATATAGTGATAAAGAAAATGCTATTTCTTGGTAGAATGACGTAACATTCTCATTCAACGCTTATTCGAAGTTACTTTGTCTCATTTCATCAGATGATTTCGGTTCCTGATATTATTGCTTTTCTGCAAAAAATATCAATTGTCCTATGTTATTGATGAATCTATAGAGAATGACGTATTCTCAAGCAGATTTAAACGGAAAATTTTAATGAGTGACAATGTTAGAAAATACGAAGAGACGAAACTATGTGAAAGAATGCAAACCGATTACGGCTTTTCTCGAATTATTCTCTTACATAATAGTATACTGTTTCCGGTTCGGGTACTTGCTCTACGTTTTCCACATTATAGTTTCTATTTTCAGAAAACTGTTAACTTAAGCGTTGAAATGCGCAATAGGGATACCGTTGACCTGTGTCATTACCGTGGTATGTGTCATGTATATGTAATACTGGTCTATGAGGTAGCTAATTATATCATATTTTACAGCATAAGGGAAATTACTCCATTCCGGAATTTAGTTGTTTTTGTCATTAATTTGTACATAAATCCGGATAAGTTGACCAGGGAATGTTTTTAAAATGATAATCCAGATTAAAGCTACTTTGAAGATTTGATCTAGTGTTTTATTCTTAACAATTATATCCTTTTACTTATAAAGTACACTACATATGATATATAAATATGTTTGCATACTGAGATGTTATAGTTACGTGACCAGGTCCGGTGCATACAGTGAAAGATATATATTTTGTCGCCTACCTTAAAATAAAGCTTAAATACCAACGGATACCCGTTCTTCTCGGCGGTATCATCAATTATGATTTATCCACATTGAAGCTTGAAGATCTTTGAATAAATTCTATTGTTCCAATATAAGAATTCGGCTACATTTTCACCAAGCATAATTTAGCATTATGTTATTTGCAGTTTGTATTTCAAAATGTGTTTCATGTTTCGGTAGAGTTAAATGCATATTACACAATATTATGATTATAACATATATCTGAATATGTTTTGTGATTATTCAAAATGATTGATTAGTACAGTTATTATATGATATAATGTTGTTGCATGCATATCAATTTTAAGTTGTTATATGTGTGGATGTGTGTGTGATTTTTCAACATTGTTTTAAATGTAGCTATGTCCTTGCACATGTTATTATATACTTCTTCATAACTGGAGTAAATAAAGGAAACAGTAGTAATGATGACCAAGAGGAAGAGAAGAGAACAACGTCCGTTTCTGTGGGATTGCACTTACATTTAGTCACAAATCTTGAAAAGGTCGGGACATGTTAAAGCTTTTTCAATAGCGTTTAGTCGTCCGATCCTATAGTAACAGATTTCGTAAGATCAAAAAGAGTATTAATAAAATATAAACAAATACCTGATACGAGTTTTATTTACAGAAAGAGTCTATGTAATCAATGAGCTAGATTTATGATGCAAAATACTGAAACCCAATTCAGCCATGGAGACACTGCTTTCTTAGAGTTAATGATATACAAATATAAACTGAAAAAAAGAGGAAGAAGTATGTGAAAGATGTGTTTTATATTATATAGTTGTGTACAGTGTAAGAATGCTTGATGAAACAGAAGAAAATGAAATTAATAGTAATAAGTAGATGTTATATGTTCTTTCTAAATATCGAGTTCTTCTGTCTAGGCATTGCAGTATCTCTGTTTTCTTGAAATAGACTATAACAATTTTATATATAGTACTCTGTCATATTTTACAGTGAATTATCGCCCACAAGAATACGAAAGAATTCTTTTCAAAGACTAGACTATTTAATTCATGAAACCAGGTAGAACAAAGTAAATGTACAGTGGGTTTAAACACACTAAGATTGCAAAAAGCTGTCGATGTTAGGGTTGAGTCGGCCGAGGTAACTTCATAAGGGAAGGCACTCTTTGTTATGCATAGAGGTGAAGGTCATTTTCAATTTTGTTACAACTTAAATAATTGGTTAAAAGAAACCCTTGGACTGGTTTTGAACCAATCAAAATTCACTTGACATTTCATTAATTAAATGCTATTGTGGCCAAAATAAACAACGTGGCACACTGCAGACGACGTAGATAAACTTGATCGCTGAAAATCGACTCTCTTCGATATTTACACGAAACTTGCAATATTCAAATAAGCTATTATTTTAGTATTTCTATTTACGATAACTTCTGGAGTTGATGACAATCAAAATTTGAGTCTGTGAAGTTCGATATTCGAAGTTTCCAGTCAAAATGGCGAGCATTTTGCAAACTGTCAAAAGTTGCGTTTGGAAGGTTTGTATTGTATTGCTGCTAACCACATGTATTTGTCTCGTATGCCATTGTTCTACATGTATGTGATGATGACGTTGCGTTACATGACATAAAACAGTAGGCCTGTTTCAATGAAAAATGTGGCCTAAAGACTTTTAAATCATGCAAAGCTTATTCAGTTGATAATGCCTACATTGCCCTCTTCGCTACACTGTAGTAGTTGCTGACCAACGCTTCACGCTTGGGCTCACATTGTTTTTAACGAAACCTGTAAAAAGCCAAACAAAGTACAAATATTTATGTTGTGGTCTGTTGGCATCAGACTTTTCGTGTTTTAGAGTGACGCAGTGGTAATGCATGCACCATAGCTTTCACTAAGACAACTAGGGTATGATTCTCCGATGCACGCAAAAAAAAGAAAAAAGTTACCCTGCCCAACTATTTGCGTTTTCACGGGTACTCCAGTTACCTGTCAGAGTTAGGCACACACCCAAGCACCATGTGATTAATATAACTTGTTTCGCAACTATTGTAAAATAAGTAAATGTTATATGTAACCTTTTTCCTTCAAACATGAAGCAGAACTGGACTAGGTCAATAGTGGTTTCTCAAGAAGGTAAAATCTGGAGAGTTCTTGGTTGATACCTTTGTCCATGAACACTTGTTTCAGGTAGTTGAATGTTGAACAAGGTGATGCTCAAACCTAGGTTGTAAATAGTTGTGTCTTGGAGGGGTTGGGGGTGAAGACTTAGAAAAAAGATGGAGGAATGTAGCAGAACTGGACTTCATCAACGGTTGTTGACAGGTAGCTCAATTGCTGGAGTGTCCCTCCAGAGTTTGGAGGATCCCTGGTTTGAACCGTGGTCTAGATCTGGCCATAGCACATTTTTACACATGAAATTCTTGTTGACAAACTATGTAAAGAAATGCCAAGGGTTGATCATGATATTGGACAAGTATCATGCTAGGATAAAGTACTATCTAAGGCACTGTACCTGGAGAGTAAACAAGTGAAGTAAACATTGACAGCTCTACTATACTTGTATGTATAATATACAGTGGATTGTAAATCTTGCTTTATGTCGTTTACAATTGTTTGCATGTGGTACATGCTACCAAGATTGTATAAATGGATGACCTTGACCTGTATATGCTATTTAAAAAAAAGAGGCTCTGCACATATATGCTACTGAGAGTGTAGCTTCCTGAGATGAATTTTCAAATGAATGACCTTGAACTACAGTGTACTTTCAAACTCACATGGGTCTCATTCATGTTTGTTGAAATCTTCAAGCAACACCATTTCTTGATCAATAACCAAAAGGTCAAGGGTCATAATAGTGGGTGAGTAGCATGTTGGATAAAAATGAACTATATAGTTTTTAATAATATATGTAACAGAGGTCATTATTTATTTCAGTGTCTCCATAAGTATTTGAACCCATGACCCATGGCTTACTAGTCTGATGCTCAACCGATTGAGCTAGCAAAACTCTCTCTAGTCAAGCAGTATTTTGCGGCTAATATTTTACCAAGCTTACATACTCCCCCTCCTGGAAATAACTTGTCCTTGAATGCCCAGGGTTACAGTGATACTTGTGAAAGTAACGCTAAGTATTATTCACATGCCCCTACATGGGCACCATTGTAACAGAGGTCACTATTTATTTCAATGCCTCTGCTAGGATTGGAACCCAAGACCTCGGGAATACTAGTCTGACGCTCAACCACTTGGTTAGTGAGAACTTCTCTTTAGTTGGATTGCTTGGGAACATTTCTTGGATAAAGATACTTGGGCAGTTTGTTATATGAAAAAATTATATACAGCCTTGTCAGCATTGTGATGAATACTAGAAACAAACTTTTATTTGAAACACTGCACGCTTATATATTTCAACACAAAGTTCATTTATTTCTTGCAGAAACCAGTGTCAGAGCAGGTGGAGGTGGTGACCAATGCTAATGATCTGAAGGAAGATTCAGATCAGTCTAAACAAGAAGTAGTTCACAACGATGTCAAAGAAAATGAGGCACCAAACTATGATGTGGACAAAAAGACTGATGAGATGTCAGGTGAATAAAAGACAAACTATACAGATGAGTGAAGATTGATGAAGAATTAAAATGATAATTATTATCATCCTGTAAAATTTAAACATCCAATGTAAAGCATTACATTCTTGGGATACTGGTAGAAGTACAACTTCATCACAATTCTAGTTCTATGGCATTATAACTTCACAAAAGATGTCATTTTACAACATAAGAGTTTTATTTTCAGATCCAAAGGCTCAAGGAAATTTGATCTGGAGAATGTCCTCGGGCATATACAGCACAGCTACAGGCGCAGTAGGCATGGGAATTGGGGGTGCCAAATGGGTCGCCAACAAGGGTTACGATGTGGGATCCTCAGCAGCAAGTTATGTCAAGGTTCCAAAGATGTCAACATTTAAGAAAAAAGATAAAAAGGAATGACAGTCCAAAGTTTTTCTCTGAGTTGTGTTCAAACTTTGTATACGATGTGTTTGTATACGACACCATAACTCTTCATTCAGGTTTTTGTTATTGTTCCTTCGACAGGCAACAATTCAATTTTGTGTAATTTTGATTTAAGCTCAGATTTGTGAAATTTGCATGTGATGTCTTCTTACTGTTTTAAAAAAAAATGTTACTACTGGTGATTTCAAATAATTCACAGAAAAATACAAGTACATGTAGAAATAATGCTATATGATAGCAAGATGAAATAGGTGTAGAAATGATGGCAATATTATCTGGTTTACATAACAAGTACTAGTTTTATATGTAGTTTCATGTGCAATATGTATGCAGTAGCATGTATCTTCAGATTTTTTGCAATGTCAGCAGAACCTGACTTTGTTCTGACATTCAATATTGAGATCATTTTGAGGTTTTCCGACATTCATGACATCAGTTCTACATATATAACCAGAATGAACATTCACATGTCCTTGATATTGACAGTAAATAACTGTAATTTGTGGATCTTTTAAGCTGCAGAGCTACATTCATTTAACCACAGAAAGAATCCCAAAAACATCAAATTGATACTGACATAACCTCTGATATGTAATTTTATGTGAAGTGGTTATCAGCCACATATTTTTCATAGGGTGTCTTATAAAGTTATAGGGACTATAACAACCTCAATGAAGGGTACAGGCTAACTTGTGGCAACATCATTAGAGGGCACAGGCTAACTTGTGGCAACATCATTGGAGGGCACAGGCTAATTTGTGGCAACATCATTGGAGGGCACAGGCTAACTTGTAGCAACCTCAGTGGAGGGTACAGGCTAACTTGTGGCAAACTCAGTGGAGGGAACAGGCTAACTTGCAGCAACAGCAATGAAGGGTACAGGCTAACTTGTAGCAACCTCAAGAAATAAGAAATATGACAGATTTATTCTAGAAATATAATGTTGACTCTTGCTATATGAATGGATCATTCTGCCATACTCCAAAAAAAAGTTTCAGTTGCTTTCTGTTAATTGCATGAAATATATATCATGATAATTGTAGTGTTTCCTAGCTACTATGCCAAAATGCTTGTCAACAAAATGAATTATACAGTCCAAGGGGAAGTGCAGTATTTATTCAAGCCTCACAGATTGATGAATATCTGATTTGTCTGTTTGACTATATATATTTTAATAACATGTATGCATTATTTTTATAAAACGGACATTGAAGCAATATGATTTTTCATATTTTGTAATGTTATGTCATAGTCTAGTTAACAATATGTACTAGCCATATCCTGAATTAGGATAGGGTGGCCAGATGGCACAGTGGTAACGCACTCACCTTTCACCTAGCCGTCCAGAGTTCGATTCCCGGAAAGGGTGTGAAAAGGTATTGGGTTTCCTGCCTGACCATGTGGGTTTTCCCCGGGTACTCTGGTTTCCTCCCACAGTAAGACTTTTCGCACGCTTTCATCCAACAGTAGGTTTTGCTTGAAAATCATTTATTTGACTAATGGTGTATGCACTCCTCTTCAATATACATGAGAAATTTCAGATTAATTTCAGCCATAATATATGTGTAATAGTTTTGAACTTGTATCAATATTTACTTCCTGAAAAATGAAAACCAGCTGACACGCGCACACGACTCCACTCTTGCAAATCACTACAGAAATGATACATGTTTTATAGTGTGATCTTCTTGAATTCTGTTGACATGATAACCAAAGATATGTTTCCTGTCTCAATTTTGACACAACAGCTCAATTAATGCATAATATTACGTAAAGATTCTGATTTCTATTCCTCAGAAATGATTACCAGGTGTCAAAAATCTTTTTAATTTACATATAAAAATTTCATGTTAATGATTTGTTCATGATTTATGCTAAATACCACACTACCGAGTCTGAGTGTATAATTCTGGGACCATGAGTTTTATGAGGCTCTGTTTGTTGACCAATATAATCATTTAGTTTTGGTTGATTTCCTCATACATTTTTACATTGAAATTTATGAATTTTCATCAGAAGAACAAGAAAATGCTTGTTAATTTATATTTACATTTTTCATAAAATTATCATTTACTTACTCATGACTTTAAAAGGATGTGTTCTTACAGAATTTCATTTAACAGATTGGAAAATATTAATATTTGCTACAAAGAAGTGGGTGGAGACATTTTAATGCAACCTTATCCTCTACACAGTCTTATTTATCAAATAAAAATAAATAGGAATAAACAATTGACTTTCAGTTTTCAATAGGATAGTGAAGATAAAACATGGCTATTATTGTCATTGGACTAGTTGTTGGAAATTATTAATCATGTCATAATGCTAACATATAATGATATTGCATTATAGTTTACCCATTAATAATATACCTACATACACAACTATTGTTTACATAACAGAATAATTGAAGATTCTGAATGAACTACTGCATCCTACCTGTTAATATAACCACATAATGTTCAATCTAGTAGGGGCCTATATTCACCTTGTTATTATATATGCTATCAATTATGTGTTGATCGAAGTCCGTAGAGAAAATATGCTATTGAACTCTGGCTTCTGGTGCTTAATGTGTTTTACTGGTAAGATTTATTGTTGAGTGTGACATCGAATGCCTGAAACAATGTATAATGAAGCAATGCCTTGTATGTATGAGATCGCATTCGAATGTACAATACATGTAGTCATTGTATGCTGTTGTATTGTCCAGTAATAAGCATACCTTTTGACTTGGAGTTGGTACCTAGAGCATATTGCAGTGTATTAAACAAAGTATATTAACTACTCACATCCTTGTATTTACAATACCTGTATATGTCATGATTGTAATTATATATATAATCTAGACCTTGTAAGAAAGAATAGTCAGGAAACCATGTTTACTGGTGGCAGGTAAATAGTAATCTGATCAACACCCATGTATAAATTGTCTGTATTTTGGAGGGACCCTCAAGTGTACCTCAATTGGGCCTTCGGATGTACCTGTAGGAGACCTTTTAAGTTTTCCTCAAGGAGATCTGCAGGTGCATATCTAGGGGCCCTTAGGAGTACCTCTCAGGAATCCTCAAGTATGTCTTTAGGGGCCCTCCAGCAGACATCGAGGGGGTCCTGAAATGTTCCCTCGTGGGGGCCATCAGATATACCTCTTGGGGTCCCCAGGTCTACCTTCAGGGGGCTGTCAGGTGTACCTCTTTGGTGAGGGGTTCCTCAATGTACTTCTTGAGGGCCCTCAATTATATATACAGGTCCTCGGGTGTACCTTGAGGGATCCTTCAAATATATCTATTCCTGCTTTTAAGTGAACCTCTAGAGGGTCCTTAAATGTACCTCTAAGGAACCCTTAAATGTACCTTTAGGGGTCTTCAGGTAAACCTCTAGGTAGGGGACCCTCAAGGGTACATCGAGGGGTTCATCAGGTGTATTCATAGGGGTCATCAAGTGTATCTCTGGGGGATCCTTGGAACAATGCAAGTGATAATGGGTAGTTAGAGCATTGTCAATAACATGTAGTACACAAACTTGGCCAATTGATGAATAATTTTTTGTTTTTTGATGTGCACATTGTTACGCAACTGATGAGATTGAACTGGCATTACAAGTAGTGTAACAATGAATTATACACTCGTGTATCGGTAGGAAGTTTGTTGTACATGCTATCAACCCAGTTTTAGACTTGATTTGCTAGTTAATATGTCTTTGGATTTTATAATACTTTGTTATTGTGTAAAAGATTTGTAGAGTATATTTTTTCATTATGTGATAGATAGATTTCATCGTGACCATCTAGTCTCCAAATGTTTATAAAATGAGGGACCGTTCACACTTGTTCCACATGTATTTGTAAATAGAATTGAATTAGAGCTTGTACAATACTTCATAAAGTCAAATACCAAATGTCCACTTGTTTGTGTACCTGATATAGACTGTGTATCAATGCACATACAAGCAGACTGACTGGGCATATAGTACTGGTAAATACTTCGCCGACAACTTTATTTGACCCATCACACAAACTAGCTATTACTCATAGGTGACCTTCATTCATTTCTTTGTTGAAATCTCCTGTCTTTTCTTCTTTGCTGACTTTTAAAACAAGTCAGTCTTTTATGTTAGATTTTATAACATATAAGTATTTACAGTAGTTAGTTATACAATCATTCTAGTTACTGAAATTTTTGTTCACAAAAAGTACGCAATACATATTGTTAAATATATTAAATATTATGTTGCTAGTCTGAATTATTATATCATATATGGTGACTTTTCTAGGTTTGTTTTATGCTACTAATATTCCGGTGCACTACTAAACTGTATTATGTCTGATATATGTTTCAATTTTGTGCTGAAAACTTAAATGAAAATTAAATTCGACTTTAAAGAACTGATTAGTAACCTGTACAAGGGATTAGCACTGATTTTTATCATTTACATATATGAAAGATATTTTGATGTGACCTCACAGGTTTTGTAAAAACAAGGGTTATCATAGATAAAGATATAAAATTATCAGTTCAGAACAGTACCAGTATTTGACGGAATGGACACAGTTTGAATTTACAGAATTTATTTTTTTCTTGTTTCATGTTTCTATTTTCCTCATCTTTAATGCAACAGATTGAAAACAAATATCACTTAAGATTTATAACCCTGCATGCTATGTACATTCTTCAAAAAATGAAAAAAAAAATCCGTCCGAATGAATATTACGTAGGTTTTAGTGCAAGATATATTTTCTGGTGCTGAAATCTATTTAAATCTATCATATTATGAATTGTTTTTTTTTTGTTTTATTTTTGTTTGTTTTGGCTTTTTGACATTTTTTGAATGCAGTGTTGTTTATTGAGGAAAGTTTGAGATAAAAAGCTGTAGACTATAATGGTTCCTTCAGGTAATATGTGTCAGTGGTCAGATTTACACATATTTTAGTCAGAAAGTAAGATGTTCTTAGTCAGTAGTAGTATTTAAAATCTCTTAAAACTTTTCAGAAGTAGGAGAGAGCATCGTTGATGTAACATGTACATATCAATCACCTGCTTTATTTTCTGTAAATGTCAGGGTAAACACAGACTTTGCCCTCCATTTTCAGGAAGAAGTAGCCATATTATACCTGTGTATGAGTTGTAGACTATATCCCTGTAGAGAGGATGTGTTGAGATATATATTATATACATGTAATACTATTATGGCAGTTGTGAACATCATTTTTTGAGGCTTTCCTTGTAGTAACTGTTGACCATGAAACATGTTATTCAGAGTACTGGAGTAAAGTATGTTGCCCAACGACACAACTATGGTAGTATATGACAATCTGTTATCTAAGCTTCCGGAGAAACACAAACTGACCGATGTAGGCATTGAAGCACACATCTCATATCTTCACCAGAGGTTATCAAGGTGTTAACCATGACACTGTCATTTACTAAACACATTTTGAGAGTGGAATTGCTATCATCTTCACAATCATTTATTAAAGAAATGAAAGGTATTTGTTTATTTAAGAAGCAATATTTCTGAGGACACAAGTTAATGCACAAATTGTTGTTCTCATCTATCAGATGTTAAAATATTAGAAGACATTAGATATGAGAAAATTGTGAGGATGATGTTTAGGTTCAAGTACTTAATAATTTGTAGAATATCTTCTTAATTTCACTAAGAGATTTATTGAAGACTCACGATAGGATGTGATGATATGGTTGAGATTTATTATGTGCCAAAGTTACTCAATAATTTATTAAACTTGCTTCTCAACAAGCTTTAACTAGCAGTATAATTAGGATGTTATGCATGAATGCTTTTGAAAATAATATAAAGGTGTAGATATCTACTTGTGCTTCTTATCAAACACAGGTAAACGTGATTAGTTGCGTCTAATTGATAAATATGCTATCGAGTAATATTGCTTTGTCCAGTGCTGACTTGCTCTACAACTTTAATATTTTAAATACTTATTTAAGACAATAAATTTGTTCCCCATTCTCTTACAAACTTTCGGTTTTACTTTAGGTTCCTTTATTATTAACCGAGACGTAATTTGTGTCAGCTATTTTGAGATGTAACACGATTACTGTAAAATCATTGATTTTCTCTTCGAGATTTATTTTCTTTGATTTTATAAACAGCATCGAATATTCATGAAATAATAAACTAATGCAAGACTTTACAGTAAACAAAGTTTTCTTAAGTGTCAGTGGTACTTACTATACAGTTTGACTTGATTAAAATGTTGGATTGATAGGATTTCCAAACAAGAAGAATTTACTGTACGTTGTACAGAGGGTATGAAAATTAGAACAATTAGATTGTTTTAAAGGGTCAGAGTCCAACACATTATATCACACTCTAAGATTTCAGCAAAAGAAACTCTTAAATAAATATTTCTTAAGTAGGTAACTTACTTCACTCTCAAGATAACCTAGAAAAATGTGCTAGTTATTTTTTCTGTCTTTTTTAAACCATTGACAATCCTTATTTTCCACAATCAGTGCTGTTAAATTGTACATCCACAATGTCTATGTAAATCCCTGTTTTCCTTGTGTGTTTTTTTTTAAACATGGAGACCAGGCCCCACTTGTATAAAACATCTCAACTTGAGATTTCCTCAAGTCGAGATTTCCCTCAGCTAATATCTCCTTGAAAATATCTTGTATGAAAATTCCTCAAGGAATTTCAGGACATCCTAGCCGAGGACTTCCTCCTGTTCCTTGAGAAAATTTTATACAAGCCGTTTTTGAGGAGATATCAGCAGAGGAAAATCTCGACTTGAAGAAACCTCAAGTTGAGATGTTTTATACAAGTGGGGCCAGTATGATTATGTCTTGTCCACCTACTTAATGGTGTGTTCAGTCAGAAGGAACAGAAAGCCTCTTAAATTCAAGGTGCAGAGGTGTTGTTTTGTTTTTCTGTACAAAAATGTATTTTGATTTCAATGGTAGTTATCATTTATCTGTGAAATATTCAGAATAAAATACTGAAGATTAACTTTTTCTTCAAGTTGGTAACAGGTTTTTCGTCTCTGTGACTTATTGTCACTAGGCCTTTTCTGACCAACAAGCAGCAATATTCTGACACCATTTTTTCCTCTTATGTGTCCAGTATTTAATACATATAAAATAAAAACAGAAGAGATGGAGGTATTGCAATAATTGTCATTAAATCAGTTTGTTGATTATTGTATTTGTCATTACTTGTCATATATTATATCGAAACATTTTGTTGATATCATATTTTTGAATCTCGTTTTTTATTATTTTTGTTTAAATTACTAATAATTGACAGCGTTTCACGGTGTTTTAGATTCATCATCATAACATAAAGTTAAAGTTACCGGTATATTGTTAAATTGTATTATTGTCCTATTACTAGAATATGTCCATCAACTATATCTTTAGTCTTCACAGGGGCATGAAAATTCAGACTCAAAATGTATATGTGCTGATATTTACATAATTAACAGATGAGTATAACTTTAACATTTAGGAAATAAATCCTAGGTAATCACTTGAAATCTATTCATTTGATAGTTTACAATAAATACTGTGTAAATGTAAGCCAGTGCTAAATGTTTTCATAATCCTGTGGCTGTGATGGATATAACCTCTAGCTATTTTCATCCTGCTTGTTAAGGAGAATATATGACAGCTTTGGTTTGAGGTTATTTTGATGACAGATAATGATTTATATTTGTAAGAATTAATATAAGATTGAAAATTGAACATGTACCACGATTTATATTCACAATATGTGTACATGTTATTACTGTGTTCAATTGTAAACAATTGTAAATTGTGTTATTTTCTTTGAATAAATGATGCCACAAAGTTTTGAATTTTTGATGTTTTTTTCAACAGTTGATAATAATTAGAGCAGTTTTAATGCAAGAAACGGGTTATGGTTACTCCCCTTCATTTCACTCCATTAGATTGGAGAGAGAAGCTGGACAACAGATTAGGCAGATGATTTTGCCTACATGTCGGCATTCTCTACAGCACTTCATTTCTGCCAATGTACACAATCATAGTCTAGATGCCTTGTTCACTTGAGAATGTTTGCAGTAAGATATTTTGACTACCGTAAATATTCGCGTATAGTGCGCACTCGCGTATAGTGCGCAGGTACTTTTTGGAGATCAGATTTAAAAAAAAAAAAAAAAAAATCTACAGAAAAATTAATTGACTGGTCACTGCGACGAAACATTTGATGTGGTCTGATCCATTGATAATTAGGAAACCACAATGAGCGTGACCCTAACACGTGTAATTACCTTAAGTAAACAAATTTACCCAGGTGACCTAACAAGCATGAAAGGCTTGGCTGATTGTATAATTAACGGTTAATGACAGTTACGGTATATTGATTTTGATCATCCATGGATATGCTGGGTAAAGTATGTATATTTTATCAATAAACATTTGATCACCAAGCACCGTTGTATTCCTGTGAAAGTATTACAACAGAAGTCATGGTCATGATCAACATTTTCACTGATAATTGTTCTAAGTTGGTCAGAATGTAACAACAACTAAGTCAATTACCCTAATGTCAAGGTCAGTAGCTCAAAATGTTCAGGTGAAATTTTGCATCTTTTCACTAATGAAAATTTTGTTATGACATAGGAACAAAGTTCGTCAGAATTAAATAAAGAGTTGGCTGACCAAAGATCAAAGTGAAATTTGTATCTTTTCAATAAGGAATAATATGTTATGACATTATAAAACAAAGTTTGATAGAATTCATCGAGTGAACCGATCAAAGGTCAAGGTAAACATAAAGTGTATCTTAAATTCACAGATTTTGAAGTAAGACAAGTTATAAGAAGAATTTAAGATGAAAATGACATTTCAGCAAGGCAAGATTTATTTCATTTCAAGTCAACATTCATCCTAACTGAATGTAATATCTTGAAACATTCAGGTTCCAATTACTAACAAAGTTCAACTATATCTGTATTAACTGGGGAGTAATCTTGATCAGATATACAGTGAAGTGATTATATCAAAATAGACTCTCAACACAATGTAGATATTGAACACAATACATCTATGAACTTTGATATATTCAACCAATGAATCTCTCTCGTCTCAAAAAAGAGGGATTACTTAGTATTATATAAGTTTTTGTGTTTAATTTAAAAATGTGCTGATGTTCATTTGTAACTACAAAATTAGCCATCCATTATTATTACAACATTAGCATTATAAATCTATAACAATATATGTTTGTATGCTAATGTTGTCATTGTGAAACTGTCCTCGGGAAAATGAATTAGTTCGATCTTTTTCAAAAGCAGGAATGCAACACTAACAGTATTTCATCAATACACAACTTAGTGTCATGTATTTGTGGGTACTGTCAATACAAATTCATTTCAAAAAGAAAATTATGCGAAGATGCAGGCAATAGATATGACTTATTGAGTATTGTACACCAACATAATGACATAATAGGCTAGTATTCACAAAAATTCTTACAATACAGATAAAGGTAGGGATTGAATCAGTGTAATACAATTAACTTGGTAATTCATGTAATAAAGAGAAAACACATGTCATACAACAGTAATGAGCTACCTTCTGAGAGAAAAAAATACGCCAAATTTGGCAAATTGAATAAATATTAAAATTTCTATGACAATGACAAATTGTAACTATTGCAACCGTAGTTGGGAAAGGCAAACAATTTTTTTTTCATAATTGCACCAAGAGGTATAAAAATTACAGAAACAGGTATTTCAATGTTTGGTTAAAGTTAAAGGCTTGGAAATTTGATGAACTTGGAGCAAAAAATGGCCCAAACTATATATAGTTCTTATAAAAATTGATCATACACTTTTGGCTAATATACTACAAAAATCTGGCTAGTACAGCACCAGGAAAAGTGATAGCTCTCTATGTGTATACATTATTGTCAACCTAACCTGGGCCGATATTGGACTCTCAGATATTGAGGAGTGCACAATATCAGTTTGATAAAAATGTGCAGCATACTTACAAGCAAAACATCTAACAGACTTGTTTCTGTTTACACTCTCAGTAACTATGAAAAAATTGTAGGCAATATCTATCTAACGGTACTTCAGGAAAAATATAGCACAGCCAGCATAAAGATATGGTACACATGAGTATGAAAAGAATCTCAGAATTGTTTAATTCATGCCAAAAATATGACATTCACATAAAATTCAGTAAAAAGTAAACAATGTCAATTAATTTTTAAATATTTTCGAATTTGTTAAGAAAGGACGAATCTGTAAAGATTTGATCGGATAAGAGAGTCCTTACTTAAAAAAAACTAATATTTAGTGTTTTGCTGAAACATTAATACAGTCAAACCTTGTTATCTCAAACTCTTATAATTCAAAGACTCTTTGTAATTTAAAGTATTTCGATGGTCGCGACCAAACGTCACACAAAACATTCAAATTTACGTAAATTTGATACTCCTAAAACTTCATGTTTTTCCACAGTCCTGCCGACTTTATGATAATGGGGTTTAACTAAATATTAACATATATTCATTCCGCTTAAAAGCAGTCACACATTTCAGTAATATGTTTAAGTGATGGAGGGTCCTTTTGAATCACATAGGTCATAGATGATAGGATTGATGAAGACTTCATTCACATGAATATATGCAATGGATTCACCAACACTCTGTCAAGATTTCTGTGATAAGACTTTTGAGTGATATAAGCTCATGCATGGATCTTTCAAACTCTGATGATCTGTCACAACTTTGATGATATATGTCCAGGTAACACAAACTATTTGAGATAAATGAACCAATCCAATGCCTCTGTCTGAGATACAAGTTTAAGTGAGAAAGACACCTTAAGAAATCTAGACTTAAATGATACTATGAATGTACACATTTCAGCGATAAATCATATTTAAGCACTTTTCGCACTGAAAATATTTCTCTAAAATATGATAACGCTTAAATTTTATTGCATCAAATTAAGTACATTTACAGTTTATGTCCTAGTGACGTAGACTATTTGAAAAAAAAAGATCATGGATCCATCAAAATTTGGGTGATATGAGTGTGAGTGATGAAAAAAAGTTTAAGAGATCGTGCATCAACGACATCCCGTAATGTAAGCTCCTTTAGGCACAGAAGGTAATTCTGTGGGATCCAGTCCGTGGAGTTTCATCTGTACAGCTATATCAAACAGGTAGTCGTAGCATTCACACCTGTTCAGTAAAGGAAACAAGAAGGGAAATATAGGAAATGATATCTTCAAAATGTTTACACAATTTTACAAGAATGGATTCACTTGTGTACATCCTTTGAATCAGATTACTGGAAATTGTCTTTATTGAAGGTGTGGATTTCATATGACCTTTGACAAGTAAATATAGAATCTGCTAGGGATTCTTCATAGAAGATTGTACAGACACACAAGTGAATAACATATTTCAATAAAATGTTAGAATTAGATAGTGTAGTATCAAATGATGAATTTCATAGAGATGTTTCCACTTTAAAGATGATTTGGGCCTTAGTTTAAAGAAAGATAGGCAATCAAGGAGAACGAAAACTGATAAAAAGAAATTTAATAATCTAGCTATGGATGTACACCAGCCCCATAATTCCATAAATTTTATAATTTTGATATGTCTGATAATTTCAGAACACCAAGTATATTTATATATTCTGAACCATGCTACTAGTCAGATGAATGAACTAAATGTCTGAGACTTAAGTCCACTAGCAGTGTCTACCACCTGTGTAATCATAAAATAACTACTATATATTAAATATATGTTGGTTTATTCATCACCTAAATCATGAGTCATTTTCATCCTCTGAATTTTTTTCTATATCATTCAAAGCTAAAACAATGTTTAGACATCAATGACCCTGCTGCCATGTATATGGGTATCTGTTGAGAGATTTTTCGAGATATGATATTGATCCAGAACAGGGTGTGATTCAATATATGTTTGTAACATAACATGTCCCCTCATAAAATAGTGACTGTGTAATTATCAAGACACAGATAAGTAACTACAGAGACTTACATAGTCTTTGCTTTCTGCCAGGATTCTCCCCATACATAAACACCATGTCTTCGGACCAACACTGCACATGTGTCTGGATAATCCTCCATGGCTCTTGACATAGCCTCCTTTATCAAAACACAAACATTTATATTTTGAAATTCATCTTGTCTTTTATTGATTTGAAAGAACAAAGAGTGAACTTAATTAACATATTTATTCTCCTACCAATATTTTTTTTTATCTAGAAATGAAAAAGGTCATAAATAGTAAACTAAATTCTTACATAAGTACAGAGATCCAATGTTATACTGAGTGCAGCAAACACAAATTTAACAACTAATGCCAAGTTGGTAGTAATGAGTTGTAGTAAGTACAGAAACTAAAGCCATGTTGGTAGTAATTACTAAAGAAAACTAAATTTGTTGGTATTTGTTATCAGTACAGAACATTTACATCAATTCCAGAAGGTTTTGTACACACAGGATTACCACATATTAATCTGTTATGAAGGGTTTTATTGTTATTGTCAGGTTGTACATAAACAATGAGACATGAACCAAAATCAGGCTATCAGTGATAAGGACATGGATTAATACAACACCTGTCTACATATATATGTTTATCTACAGAAGGGCTGAGGGATATATCAGATTCAATATCATTACAAATCAATAGTCTTCAATTTACATTCAGCCATGCATTTGAAAAACAACAAGAAATAAAATATTATTTTTTTTAATTATTGCATTTTGCATCAAAATCTAGCACTGTGTAGCATGTGAGAATTTCTTTGTCTTGTGTATGGAAAATGGCCACCGACTCATATCTCATTGATTTGAATTTGAGTCTTGTGGACCTACCTTTAAATCTTTTTCATGAGGCGTGTTCTCAACAATTGGAACAATCAGTTTTTCATCATATCTGTAATTGACACCTGCAAACAGAAACTTGTTGAAAATATTTGTGTCAGGTATTCTTTAAATTCAAAATTTTTATGGTTATTTAACAAGAGGTCCAGGGGCCTAAATGATCACCTGAGTGAACTCACAAACCGAAACACCTTGGGGGTCAGCGAGGGTCAACATGTGCATATCATGAAACTTTCATCCTTTACAAATAATTCTAACCAAGTTTGTATTTCCAATGGAAAATAAAGAAATTATGCCCAAATTGTGATCTTCCCATTTAAACTATAGTAAACTTTACCCCATCCCCATGTTAAAAGTTTATGGACACACTACCAATGTCGGACGGCTGCCAGGTAAAAGGGGAAAGTGAGAGTTTGTCTCAGGTGGTTAAAAATATGTCCACGAGTTACCAGTAACAGAAGCAATAGGATGATGCCCATTACATTTCAATTGTGCTGAACTGTACAGCAGTAATCACTTGGAGGTTTCTTGGCAACCTTATATGCTTGGGGGTTGGAGGTTTTATTATGGAAATACTCATTTTGATTTGATACAATCAATTCAGTCCATTTTAACAGGTTACATGCTTGTCTTCGCCATTTTATCTTACTAAATAGTTCACATCCATCCTTATACAACTCTCATGGGTGTGTAAGAAACTGGATGTCCTGTAATAAATTGTTCAGTGATATCAAAATGAAAGTGAGCTTTCCATATTTACTGCATACCTTTCTCATCAATCAGGTGTTATCAAAGAGAATCGTACTTTCTTGTGCTCAAATCTCGAAAAGCATCATGGCCAATAAAGACCATCACTGCGATGTCAAAAAGACACTAATGGGTAAAAACAGAGCAGAATTTAGAATTGTCACACACTTGACAGAATCCAAATGCTTTTGTTGCTGACAACATCATCGTAACTACTGCATCCATGGCAATTATGTTAAGTATCGTGTGAGAGCAGACTCATTTCTAGCTAACAATAGACTATAACCATCTAACCAAATGTTGTATCGAGTTCTAATCACTTTACCGCTTGGCCTGACCGGATTCAAACCTGGTAACCCCCAAACTCTAGATGGATACCAGTTAAGCAACCTTAACCCCAAAGATAGACTTTTTCCTCTATATGCCTTCCTTTTTCTAAATCTTTGCCTCTAAAGACACAAGTCTTTACCAACCAGGCTCTGTATCTCCTTCTCAAACATTCATCTACATAAAACAAGGGTAGGTCACAGGCACCAAATGTAATAGAAGAGATAAAATGCACAGCCAGACCAGTTCCCCACAGTCTTAATTACCAGATTTGCACTTTCTGATTCCTTTGATCATTTCCTGGTGTGTGATACAGAATTCGATTCCTGGGAACAATAGTGTTGCCATGACAGCAGCTTTGGAATGTGTGTGAATCACTGCACCAGCATCTAGTCAACACAAACATGTAAAACAACAGATTATATTATATTTATTTATCAGTAATGTGTACAGATTTCACAGAATATCGTGCTAAACTAATGAACAAGCACAGATTTTATTAAAATATTACCTAAACCAGATTTGCTTTAACTAAATTGTCTCATGCCACAGGTCATCTATTGGTTGCTTATCGCTATACAACGGCTCTGAAAGTCTTATATCACAACTATAATCCCAGTGCCCCAGTTAAAGGGGCACAACTCTTACAAACTTTCATACATGATCTAATTTTGTATGGCCAGCAAGAATAATACATTGTATACTATGGCCATTCTCTGCGACCATGATTTACCAGAAAAACAATTTTCCATCAAAAAAAAACCAAAAGGAGTTTTCAAGACTTTGTCATGTCATGATGTATAGATGTCTGTAAAACATTTTGTTTTGGAGTGGAAAACAATGAAGACCTTTTCCATGTAAAGAATTTAAAACCAAGTATTTAGTTTAAGATCAGCATAGAAATTTATGACTGCATGATATTGTATAGTTCGCTAAGAATTACCTCTCATAGTGTAAGCATTCATAAAAAGGGGTGTACACTGGCTTTTCTTTAACTTTTTAGAAGGCGGTGGTCCTGCAATGTCTTTCTCATCCATTGTCTGCACAAATAGGTCCTCTGGCTGTGCAAGAGACACTGTATTTCAAAGATTGTGCAGAAGACATACAAGTGAATGGCACCTTTCCATACAAAGTTTGAATTAGTAAAGCCAAAAAATAATTAAACATACACAATGTAGCTGTTTCAACCTACTCGGTGTCTCGTCAGAGATGCTAAAGTCCTAAATTTCAAACTTCATAATTAAGCATAAATCATGCTTAATGTTTTGTTGAATGTGACAAGGCAGTTGTTAATTGTTACCCATAGTGTAAACTTCTAACATTGTTAAACTTGGAGTACAACCTCGTGTGAATGTTCCATACAAATACCATATAAAATGTGTGATGCCAGAGTGTCTAATTTTCACTATTTCCACCATAAGATTGTATGGGATACAATTTGAAAATATGCTTTAATTGTATGGTTTAAATTAGTGTACAACTTCACTGTAGAATTTGAATTTACCTGTATTCTCTCTTTCTGGACTCCTGAAGGGGCAATGTAGATTTCTTCTCTGAATTAAAAAGACACAAATTGAATAAAACATTTTAAATAAGATGTGTGTGATAACAATGAAAATAATTTTGCATAAAATATTCGCTGGCCCCTACAAACTGGATTAAATATGCAATATTCATAACAAATCCCTCTTGCTTCTGTAAATGAGTGAAAATTACCACACTTGTACAAAAATGTAAATAGACTTTTTTTTCTTAGTAACAATGAAAACAAGTATTGTCAACATTATCAAAGCTAATTTATAAAACCATCAAGCCAAAAAATTTCATTTCTGTAAATTATTTTTTCTTCACAAGACAACTCCATAACACCTTACTGAGCCATGAAAAGAATCTCAATTAAACATCCTAAATTGCTTACTGAAAAGTGAACTAAAAACAAGTAAAAAGCTAACTTTTTACAAAATTGTGGAGAATTTATGGAAATATAGCAGAAAATACATAAAGCTGTGTTAACACCTGCCATTTCATGTGCATGGCTGGGAAGAAAGGTTATAAATCAAACATTGTTATCTCACAGGATTTGAAAAACCCTGTTTGATTTGAAGTATTTCGTCTGTCCCGGCCAAACTTTTCACCTAACAATCTATCTCACTTAAATCAAATACTCAGATAACTCAAAAGTTTTACAGCAGTTTCACCAATTTTGAAATAACAAAGCTTAACAGTACTTAGTATATTCTTTCAGGTGTCTCTTTTAAGAAGTGCATCTTATAGCTTGTGTTCTATCATTTATATCTCTGCTACAGATTTTCTAGTATTTGAAGAAATACTACTAAATTAAAAGTGTTATGTAATTTATCATCAATATAAATGATAGTACACATGTCTAGTATATTCACCCATCCTTTATGCTGATACCTCCTCCAGTCCCGGTCACCCAACCAAGATTGTAAAACAAACGACAAAGCTCAGGGATCAGATTCCTTGGGTGCTCCTGAAAAGAAATATGGCCTCATCATTTCAGTAAACTCCGAATAATTAAATCACTCAATGACAAATTGAGAGGTAAAATGGATTTTCAAAACTATACAGGATTGTACAACTACTTATTCATCTAAATCTTACTTACCAAATTCAGAATTTTAAATGTTATGGATTTTTTCATGGGGAAAAAAAAATGAAATTCAGTCTTATGTAGCAAAAGAAAAGCCGCGTAAATTAATCACAACACACAATACTATATGTTCCCCACCTCGTTGGTAAGCATGTTTGATCAAGCTGGCATTTACAGTGTAAATCTCTGTAAGGTGCTCATCTTCAATATAAAGTCAGCTAGTGATTCTACCTGTTACGGAAAAGTGTTGCATAAGAGCTGATAACACTGAGATCAACATGTAGGTTTCATAGTGTCCTAGAGGTAGATCGTGTTGTTGTAAAATTCTCTATCTTAATCCAGTGTTGTGATAGTAATATTCCTAAAGCCTAGCATGCAATAAACTGATGATAGATCGAGAGATTGACCAATCAAAGTAAACCAACAACACGTGCTAGTGTTGTGATCCCTATAAATAGATGCGTGTGTACTGCATTCATATCCCTATAGCTATATACTTATACAAATTTTCCACATGTCGTAACTCTGCACTTGATAATACACGATTATATGATACATATAAGGAAAATGGCAGTGTTTTAAGTGCATTGAGGTCTAGTACATGAACCCAGTTTTTATCACACTGTCCAAACCCATTTCAAGACATCTGGCTATATGTAAACACTGGCTATATGTAAACAGACTACTACTGACCCTTAATCTAAAGATCATTGTCAGATCACATTATCTAATCTCATGGTCAGCTTGACATAATCTGGTATCAGACCAGACACAAACACTCATGTTCATGATATACTACATTGCTAAAATCTAAAAATAAGATTGCCTATGTAACCAGGGCATGTAACAACGTTTGTATGGCAGGGGGCTAGTTATATACTATAATTATAAAAAATCTGCCTGACGTTTAAGTAATTACGTAATTAGTTTCAACCTCTAGAAATTTTGCTCATCCTACCTATTTCAGGTCTTTGGTAAATGTGTATATAATCAATGAAACTTGTATTACCGAGATACTAGAATCTAATTGTAATATCTCCAAACTTGTTATAGGTTATTATATACAGCCATCTTACGATAATTTATGTTATAATGCAGGATATTAAAGGATTTTCTCTATTTCCCCTTCTGGGTCACAACCCTCATGCCCCAGGCATACATATTGAAAGCATGTTACAAACTTTTTTAACCAAATCTTGACCGGATGAATCAGAGAGGTCCTGTTGTAACACTACTAAAAGATCCCAGCAAGTGTCTTTGCTCCAGAATTACTTGTGGAATTTGAAATTGTTATGTGCAATATTACATATTTTCTCTAGATTCAAATCTATTCATAGAGGAATTCATGTATTAATATTGGAAATTCCCTTGCTACCTGTTATTCATTCCAAAGACTGGAAATGTTCCAAATTTATCCATCTGGAGACAAGTATTTCACAATTTGTTGACTGTGATGTCCACAGCTTAGTATTGTGTAAAGTTATATAACATAATAAACTAAACATTGGCTACTTTTGACCTAAACTTCTGTTGGAGTTTTTTATATATATATATATATATATGTCTACAGTACACATGAATATTCATGTACATTTATACTTCAGCTCATATTTACTGTGAAAGTTGTATAACCGTTAACAATATATTTACATATATGTCCTAGCATAAATTGATATTCTTAACAGTATAGTAGAAACGAGTAATGGAAAACACCCTGCTACTGCTGGGGTTTGAACTATTGACTCTTCAGTCTCTAGTCAGACACTCTATCACTGAATTAAAGGGAGGTTCCCACTAGCTGAGGCTAATAAGGCGACCTGTATTCTCAATCAATGATCTTGTTTTAAATTCACTGACTTTCAGCCTGCTGAGCTGGCAAGGATACATATGAATTTTAGTTTATTGTTTCTCTACCTATAAAGCTATTCCATCTATTAAGTGAGCTATATTTGTGGTATATATTGACAGTTGAATTGGTCAAGTTTAAATCTACTTAAACATCCTTGTAATGTAGTTTAAGATATTTTGTTGCATTGCTTCATTCAATGAGAGATAATTCATGAAAGTTAACAGATGTATTTAATTTTTCAGAATAATAAAGTAGATCTATTTTGCTAAAAAAAAGAATCACTTTCTACATAATCCACTTGAACAGTGCTGTAGATCTACAGCGTGTGTACTTTCGCTGCAGATATACCCTCGGAATCCAGAATAAGGAGATTATGTATACAGAAACTCTGATCTTCCACTACACTCCTCCATCCTTACTTTTTTGTCTTTGCCCCCAAAGACATCACATCTAACAACCCAAGTTCAGGGTATCCCCTAGCTTGTTAAGCATTCAACTCCTGCTTAAAACAAGGATTGGTCATGGCACCAAATGTAACCGGAGTGAAAAATGCACAGCCAGACTGCGGTTCAAACCCACAACCTTTCAAACTCTAGATGGATGCTCTACCTACCGAGCTAACTGGTTGCTGACGATCGACTTTGTCCAGTTCTGATACATTTATAAAGATGCAAGATTCAAAGGATAACATACTTTAACTGGAGTACCTCAGGATGGATCAGTATGCATACCCTCCTATGTCCAAACAATATTAATCATTTGTTGTATAAAAAATAATACAAATTTGAAAGTGGTTATAAAATAAGTTAAATGTCAAGAGAGAAAATGGTGCTATAAATATGTTTTAATGATGAATTAATGCATATCAATTTTTAAAAGGATGGGAAGAAGACTGATAGAAGTCCCTGGAAAAGTTTAAATTGCTGAAAAGAATAAAGGACTGTAACTTTGGGAAAAAATTGTTAAATCAAACTGTTCTTCATGATAGAACACAATTTAAAGCCAACAAAGTTTCAAAGAAATTGGTTGAAAACTAAGGGAGGAGATATCTGGACAAGGTGAAACACCTTGAAAAAATGGGCAATAACTCTTTTTAAAAAAAAAAAAAAAAACAACATCACAATGCTTGAAAAATCTTGAAAGATATTGGTTGACAAGAGATCCCCAAGAGACTTTCAGGTACCCACTAATGTTTGATCTTTATTTTTCTTTAACAGTTGGATCTGTTCCCTTATTTCTCGTCTTTCCCGTGTTCAATCCTTAATTTTGTGATTTTTTTAAAACTCCTTCAAGTAATAGAGATAGTAATCATTCAGTGAAAATCCAAGATGGCCGCTTGTCAGCCATTTTGTTTTCCTAATTAGGCCCAAATCAAGAGGTCACAACTAGGGTCCAAGGGGGCATACGTATGAAATTTAAGTAAACTCGTGCAGCTCTCCTCAAAAAGTAGCGACAACGTCCATTGCTTAATCTTAATGTCGACTTAGCTTGCACCTTATGTGATTTCAGTAGGCCTACTACAAGATGTTATGCAAAACCTCCCTATATCATTGCATTAAAAAGGGAACAGTGATTTGTACCGTTTCTGAAATCATAATGTTTTCCTCGTTCATTTTTAAGGTTCAAGCCAACCTGGTCCTCTTTGCCTATTTTAATTGAAAGCCGAGCCACATGGTCGTGGTCAGTTGTGTGTTTACTTGTGCTTCAAACGCAATCGCAACGTTGATTTTTCCTTGGAAAATGGCGTCTGCCATCAGTCACCTTGGCCGGGTTCTTTCTCGGTTGAAAACTGCCGAGGTTGCGAAGGCCGCAAAATGTGTCGTCCAAACACGATTTTTCCATTTACAAAACGCAAGCAGAGGTATGCTTAACTAGAATCATTACAACACAATGTAACTGCTTATTGTATTGTTTTTGTAAACGAAATTGAAAACCACACAGGCAAAATGAAAGTTATAAAAAAGAAGCCAGTTTAGGTAAATCTATACGTTGTACCTGTAACAGAGGTCATGGAATTTTTAGTGACTAGCTAGGATTTGAACAGGAACCTCTTGCCTCCTTAACTTATGTTCAACTGTTTGAGTTTAAAAGAAAGTCTCTCTAACCGAGCGATGTATTATTGTTGCCGGTATCAGTTTAGGCACGGCACAACCCTGCATCAAAATGGGTTTATGTTGATCCTGCATTCAAGGGATCAATACTTACTGCTTGTTTTGAGTGATCAAATGGTCTTGCATATTTTCAACGCATTGATTACTTACAGTAGTAACTATCCCTCAAATACATAACTATAATCCACATGTGGAGTTGTGCCCTAACTCCCCGAATACTTTACCAGGGTTACAAGATTGTTGCATATTAATTAATTATTAAACTTCAAGTTACCATATTTGTTTCATATTGTGGTTAAAATTTATTTGCCTTTTAATCACAGGTACAATGAAGTTGGATATGCCTTCCCTGTCCCCTACAATGTCAGAGGGCAGCATCATCAAATGGCACAAGAAAGAAGGTCAGTTATGTCACAATACTATTTCGTAATTTTGATGAATCCCGATACCAAGATATATAGTGGATTTTCAAAATTTTACTAACTCCAACAGGAAAAGCAGGATTCAGATATTCCTAAAATCACTGCTTTTACCACTTCAAGAATTCTTAACTACCTATAAGTTTGCAGTGATCCTCATATACATTTCGGGCATATAATACAAGTAACTTCTGTCTTCCATAGTCAGAGGGATTTGTCTGAATAAATGGTATTTTCCTGGTCATATCCTTTGAAAAGCATGTAAAATATAATGTCTGAATATAACAGTAAAACATGCCAGGTATGTACTTTATGATGATCAATTTCAAATTTGATTTGTTACAGGGGATGCAGTTGCCCCTGGCGATGACCTTTGTGACATCCAGACTGATAAGGCTGTGGTAACCATGGATACAGATGAGGAAGGGATTCTTGCAAAAATAATAGTACTTATTAATTTTTAACAAGTAAAATTGTATCTTGTACATTTTCTATTTAATTATGATCAAAAGGACATACATGTGTCTTTATTCCATGTAATATTAATGAAACAAGACTTTGTGATTTGATTGAGTCTCTAGCAAGCTTATTAAGTTAAGGAATATCCAACCTCTTGAATATTACTTGGTACAACGAATGTAGAAATTTCACATACTGTAAGCTTTCCTTTTTTCCCAGTGATTCATGTCTCTTGTCAATTTAACACTGTATATAGAATTAACTGCTCTCAATGTTGGAGCTTGTGAAGTTCTTTGAAAATGAAGTACTGGTATATGTATGAGGAACTAATTTCTGACAGTTTTATAATTACCAAAACACAACTTTATAATTACTGAAACACTTGATATGTATGAGGTTTAACATAAATTCTTTGATTGACAGATGCCAGAAAACTCCAAGGATGTGAAGGTTGGAACATTGATTGCATTAATGGTAGAGGAGGGGGATGACTGGCAGAATGTTGAAGTCCCTGCTGATGCTGGAGCTGCAGCCACTGGTGGTGGCAAGTCTGAAGCTGAAATCCCAGCAGCAGAAACCCCTACAACACCATCACAAAGTGTAGGGTTAGTATAACAGGAGAGTTTCATTTACTTGTCCCACACCCCACACCCCCTTAAATGTCCCTTTTTTTCTTTTTAATATGTCAAATTTTTGCTGTTTCACCAAAAGTTTGAAGCAAATTAGATGATGTATTTCTGGCAAAAAAACTTTTATAGAAAGTGTTTTTTTTTTCTTTATCAATTCTATTTGCATGGTATCTTTTTTTTACCAATTTTATTAGATATAACTCCTTGAAGAGAGTACCATTATAATGGTCATGATGGAAAAACATAGCTGCCATCTTTAATTGAATTATTATTGTCAGTGGATTTCTTGTAGGCCTGATTGACATCAAATAACTACTGCATAGATTTATACTTTTTATCCAAACATATGTTTCAAACTGTCAACAATTTCTGGAAACACAAGACTGATGACGTTTGTTATAAAAGTTTGTATTTTCTAATTTCAGGCCAATTGGACCATCTGTTCGGAAGCTGATGGAAGAATACAACCTGTTTGGAGTGTCTGTACCTGGTACAGGACCACAAGGGAGACTCACAAAGGGGTATGTAACAAATTTGGCCCGAATACTGTATCATACTCACAAAGGGTATATAACAAAGAATTTCATTGGTTTTCATGTCATACTCACAAAGGTGTATATACATGTAGCAAAGAATATCATTGGCTCTTATGTCATACTCACAAAGGTATATATTCATCTTACAAAGAATCTCATATTAATTCTCATGTCCCACTCACAAATGGGTATATACATGTAACAAAGAATTTCATTGACTGTCATGTCATACTCACAAAGGGGTATGTACATGTAACAAAGAATCTCATTGAAGGTAATGATACAAAGTTCACTTAGAAGTGTATATAGGGGTTATATCATTAGACATGATTTGAGCTCACGACAGACTTGCAATGATATGTGTAAATCTATATATCAATGTCAATAATGTTTATCAAAGATACTTACAGAAAACTTGGAGGCTAGGTAACAGCATATCATAGGTTCTCATAGTTAACACTTATATAGTTCTGTTTCTTTGTTCATGTTAAAATGTCAGTGTGTGTGGCAGACTGATAAATAGGAGTTTTCACCCTTGAACCAAGTCTCATTTTCATGAAATGATGTATATGGATTTTATATTTTAGGGATATTCTTAACTATATAAAAACAAAAAGTTTGACCAAGCAAGTATTACCAGTGGAATTAACACCCCCAACACAGCCTGCTGTAGCCTCCACACCAGTGTTGCCTCCTACTGAATCATCCCTGCCTGGATCACCTCCACCTGTCCTGGATATGGAAGGTGCTGAATTCGTAGATCTTGAACTCACCTCAATGAGGAAAACTATAGCCAAAAGACTAACACAGTCTAAGGTATCATCGTTTTCAAGATTATGAATTTTTATATGGTTATAATATTTTTAATTATATCTAAAAATCTATTTGTCAATACACATGTACCTTGGTTTTATTTTCACTTCTATCATCATATCACAAGCACAGCTTATATGTAGATAGTGTCAGTCAACCTTTTCAAATATTTTCATCTGCTTATAAGTGACAGGTAAAGGTTTTTTTTGAATTCGGAAGTTGAAATAAACTATCCTACTATTGAATTAATAAGTCTTTAGATTTTGGGATTGAAATATTAGTTACAAAAATTTCATCAGCTTTCATTGAATTTCAGCAAATATGGTCCTGCATTACCAAATGTTATTTTTGGGTTTTCAAAAATTCAATGTGGCTGCCATTTTAAAAAAATACACCTTCTAAACTTCTGTTCTGATGGTTTCATGTGTTAGAAAAGTTAAAATCAAGAAAATGCTGTTTGGGATTGAATAAAAAGATCATTTTCCCCACCATTACTGCAATAAAGTCTGATGACAATAAAGGCTCATGGGCCAGGCCATCTTGTTCATAACTTGAGTAGGTTTACCTTGACAATAGAAAATTTAAACAACAATGATAGTAGGTCTTATAATGATATTTTGATTCAAATCTATATTCAACAGAGTACCAGGTAAGACATTTTCAGGAATATGAGATATTTACTCCACATCTTTTTAAGAAGATTTCATTACTTTAGTTATGTAATTCTGTAGTTTCTTAGGTCATGTTTTGGTAACCAAAGTTTATGTCAGGATCCGTGGTTTCATTTTTGGGTTTGTTGTACAGTTTTACTTTGTACCAATTCTTTTGGTGTTTTTACCTTTTTCAGACAACAATACCACATGCCTACATGTCTGTTGAATGTGATTTAGGTGCTGTCACAAAGATGAGAAATCAACTAAAAAGTATGTATAAATATTGGAGAAACAGCTTTTATTAAATCCAAAATGAAACAGCAGATTTATAAGCACTAGAACATTTTTTATGAAATGTACTTCTCTTTGAAATTTAAATCAAAATTTATTTATTGATTTATCAGAAATAAATCAAAATATTCTGAAATTATTTAATTGTATTATTTTTTAATGTAGAAAATTAAGATTGAATATTTCAAAGTTGTTTGATGTTTTCTTTCAGGTGAAAATGTGAAAGTTTCTGTGAATGATTTTATAATCAAGGCATCTGCATTAGCACTACAGGTAAATAGAAAGAAACTCATAGCATAACATACAAAGCTGTCCAAATAGATCTTAAAATACTGTATGAAAATATCTTAAAAGTTCAGTAAGTTAAAAGTATCAAATGTTGTGTGAAATTGAAAATTGTGTCAAAATCTAACTAATTTACTGAATATTTATAGACTAAAAAAAGGAAACATTTCTTTGATGCTCTTTTTCCATTACAATATCTTCACCCCTCTTATGCATGTAGTAAGCACTTCATTACTGCATCCATGCATGCAAAATGTTAAGATTGTGTGAAAGAAAAGAAAGAGAGATATCTCGCGAACCCATGAAAATATTTATTCACATCATTTAGAATTACCCTGTTAAGGTCTACATATGATTAGATTTTGGTGGTCATCGGTCAAGGTTAAAGGTCACCCTTGATCACTTTTGAATGTTAACCATGTGTGCAAGATATCTCATGAACCCACCTACTTTTGCATAACCTGGTTGAAATAGTTCAGATGGCCTAGAATTATTTCACAATAAATGAAAGCACTTGTGCCTGATGTAAAACTCAAATGCACATTTTCAGAATTTCCTGTCAGAAATGAAAAAAACTTACCAAAAATAAGATATCATCCATGTTGTATTTACTAGCTAAACATTTCAGGAAATATGTGTGTGCACCGACCCTGCTGTATACTAAAATTCAGAAAACTAATGGTTTTTAGCAACTTAGCTTCGAGACAGGTACATATAGACCCCTCAAACAGAATATGCTGAATATTCTACAGTCCAGCCTCGGTCACAATCTGTACCTGGCATTTCCCTTGAAGGTTATGCTGGTCCAACTGTTTAAGCTGCTTACGTGATCTTTGTTCTTATTCATACACCATGCTGGTCATTGGGCAAGGTTAAAGGTCAAAGGTCAACCTTGACTTTTTTTTAAATGAATAACTTGTGACAAGATACCTTTTGAACTGAATACATAAACCCTCAGTAGATTAAGATAAGAAGAAAAAAATGAGGGGGTAGGGGTATCTTATAGATGGTAGCTCCTTCTCACTTAGTTTTTATTTCCCTTAAAATTTATGCACGATGTATTTACACGATTTTATTTGACTGTGTTAGTTTTTTAAGTATAATTCATTGTTCTTATTTCCACAGAGAGTGCCAAGTGTGAACTCAGTTTGGCAAGGGGACACAGCGCAGTCCTCTTCAGCTGTAGATGTGTCAGTAGCTGTGGCAACAGATCAGGGACTGATAACTCCAATTGTAAAAAATGCAGCTTATTTACCAGTAGATGAAATATCAAGTACAGTTAAAGTGAGTATATAAATCTACTTGAAATGTTGAAAGATACTTTCATTTTGGTGTAAGATCAGAAATAATGGAAGCTTTCTAAAGTTACTCTACTTTATATCTTGGAAAAGCCGAAAGTTGTTCAATAATATTTTTGCCAACCGTTATCAGATTATGGGTTCTTTAAATTGGCCTTTGTCTGAGGTCAGTGGCCCATTTGTACGTCCATCAATTCTTGTCATCATGAGTGGTTCTTTCTCAAATTCATATGAAGTTTCCCTCTGGTCCCCAAATGTGTCTTTCAATTTTGAGACTGGCCAGAAAAACAAGACAACTGACCTAAGGCAAACATAGGTTTTGACTATGAGAGCTATTTAATCACTATTTTATGATTATTTAGTGTATTATGCTCAAATTTCTTATATAGGTTTTCCTTGATCCCTTGTTGAGCCCTTTTAATCTTAAGACTGATCAGAAAAATAATGAAATTGGCTTAGAGTAGAAGTGACCGTCATGGATTTTGATAAGTTTGTTATTGCTATTCTTTCAGAAGTATTGGATGGATCTCTCACATATTTCAATTGGTTCCCCTTGGTCGCCAGTTTGAATCTTCTGATATGTAAAAGAAAACGAAGTTGCTGTCTTGATTTTATAGTTGCTATTATTTGAGAAGGACTTGATGGGATGTTGTTAAATTTCATTTATGAGTTCTCTTTGGTCCACATTTGCATGCTAGATGAAGATTTAAAAAATTTGATGAAGGTTTCCCTGGTTTGTGGAATTTACTCTATTATTAAATCATCTGTCAATACAACGAAGTAAGAAGAACAAATAAGAGGGAAGAAGGAGAGAAAATATCCAACTGATAAAGAACCAATGATAATTACACTATGGTGGGGGCCAAGATCCCTGATATGGAATCTCTCTGAATTCACACAATTTGAATTTTTATGAAATTTAAATTTTCAAGTGTAGCACCACATTGTCTATATTTCTGACTGTAAGCCCATGCCTTTAATAAGCCCATTTATATAATTATATTGCTGCACGGTAGGATTACGAACAAAGTTTATTTCATTTTCCTGCAGTAGGCTCGTCCCCTGACTCTGAGTCGAGATGTATTGGCCATCTGGTTTTCATGGCAGGATAGAGATGGTGTAGATATTACACGATTACACTCTGTCCAGATTCATTGCTATAACATGGAATGTTTTCAGTGTATATAGCTGACCATACCATTCAAACATATTTAGGACATTCCTGATGATCAAGTGGTACATTGTAAAAAATATCACCAGGTCTAGGGAAGGAAATTTTTTTAACAGATAAGGGAATTATTTGTTTATTCAACATATCCCAACTCAAGGCTTGAAAGGAACCATGGAAAAATCTTGAAATGAAAAGAAAATGTTTCAAAAATTGTGATAGTTTTACTTTATTGATATACAATGTACCATATATAACAGATTGATTTATTTCAAGAATAATTGACTTGTTCTTCTGTATTATATATAGGAAACTGTAGCCACACTTTTGCCATATGGACAAGTTTAATAATTGGAAAAAATTGAAGTTAAAGCTGAAAGATATGGTTTGATGTATTTCAATTTGAATTTAAAATTAGGAAAGTGAACAATTTTTCTGTGCAATTTTTTACGATGTATACACTCAAATATTCAACTTGAGTGATGATTAATTTACATAAAAAATTCTTTATGTCTGATGTAGTCTTAATTTCTGGAGTTTTCTGTTACCATTGACAGAATAATATTGTAGACTTATACATCTTTCCACAGGAGTTAGCTGTGAAAGCTAGAGAAGGAAAATTACAATTGAGCGAGTTTCAAGGAGGATCATTTACGTAAGTCAATCATTATCAGGACATGAAGTAGATTCTATTTCTCTTAATTTTTTTTATTTTTCCAAATTATTTCTTACATTACATAGATACCAGACAGCATACACACTCGTTTTCACAAACAAAATAATATACATACATAATGATGTATAACACGCATATCATCATCGTCGTCGTCGTCATCATCATCATTTTAATACAAAAATGTCCCATCCAGAAACAAGTCATCTTCATACAATCATCATCATAATCATCAAATTTGAAGTAGTACTGGTCAGTGTGTACTTTGTGTTTGACAGTAAGCTGTAGAATACTATCACCTGTGCTGCACATAAGTAGTATATCATCTCTGCTACAATGTAGTGCCTATAAATATTCAGAAGTAGAAAAGAGAAAAAAAAACACTCATTAGGTGACTAACTGCAAGACCCCTCTTTAGATATGGGTGTGGTTCCTACAATGTCTTCTATTTACAATTACAGGATGTCTAGAACTCCTGAGTAAGGCCTACTGTATAACAACACATGTGGTCGTAGGAGGAAAATTAAAGTGGGCACCTGCAGACTGCAGATTTTCTTCAATGATTTTAATTATTGGGCATAGAAGAGACTAAAAATTGATGTTATCATCTTGGATCTTTCAGAAACCTGATCAAACTTTATGATGTTGTAATTAAGCATGTCAAGGACATGTTTTATAAATGGAAAATAACATTATGTTAATTATAAGTCTTAAGATATTTTGCAATCTCTCTTTTGCAGAATTTCCAACCTTGGAATGTTTGGTATCAGCGAGTTTACAGCAGTTATCAACCCTCCCCAGACTGCCATCATGGCTGTTGGCACCTCCCGTCTTGTGCTCAACAATGAAGGCAAACCTCAGACGAATCTCACAGTTAGTCTGTCATATGACAGTCGTGTCATAGATGAGACAGAAGCATCACAATTCCTTGAAGTATGGCGCGATGTGATGGAAAACCCTAGCTTTATGGTCTCTGGTTCTCCACGATCAAAGCTTGCGGCAGATTTTGCATAATGATAGCAAAGGTTATTACAGAAGTATCAAAGGAATATTTTTGTTAAGTATGTTGGTTATAGTTACAGCATATCACATACAGTTCAGATTAAGTGAATGAAATATCAGAAACATTGTGTACCACATATTTGACTGCAAACTGAAGCAGTCTACCAAAAAATTACTGGTACTCTTAAATGAACTAGAAATGGCATGAAATCATCTTTGCTTATGTTCAGAAAAGATTAAACACTGATTAAAGAATAAAAAATTGAAACAGACAATTTTTAATACATGTACATAAATATAGGTATTAAAATCTTATACTTTTGAAAAGTAATCTAATTTTCAGCTTAATCTTGAAAATAATGACCAGAGTTCAAGAGCCTTAATTTTCTGGAATAAGGAAAGCATTTCTTGAATATCCATTCTATACCAATAGTATGATATACATGTACTGTATCAGGATTTGTACATCTTGCTAGTTTTATTGTTCCTATGATCTAAATGTGCAATTATATCAATATTCAGGTCCATTTAACATCATGATAAAAAGGCTGAATTTATATGGAGACTAAAACCTAGAACCCTGTGGCTGGTGATGCTAGAGTTAGAAATGATAAATTAGGGTTATGTATACCTTTATTTGAAATAGAACTACATTCTGTCTAAAGTACCGCTTTGGATGATATCTAAAATACTGCTGATACTTTGGCATATCGACAGGAGCAGTACAGTCTTTCCTGAATTTTGTTAATATCACCTTTGTGTAAAGGTATTCAACATGTTTTAGTGCTCTTGTTAATTAACTTATTAAAGATGTATGTAAACAACACTGGAGATTTGTGTTATCATGTAAGGTAATTTGCTCAAGTAGCAACTTGTGGCGCTTCATCTGATTTCCATCTATATTTACAATGTATTTGATCTAGAGAGTTGAAAACATCTTCAGAATAACCAAGAGGATATGGGTTGCAGTTTGTTGCATGCTGGATTTAAGGGGTTTTATAATTAGTGTAGTTACTTTGACTGCCTTTCAAGTTCACAATTAAAATTTATACAAAATTGTGGTCATGTCTGGAAATATTACGGACATATTTGAGCTGTAACACAATGCTATGAACCAGAGAAACAAATGGCCTTGACCGACTTCTGAATGTCTTATACATATATTGTACATTGCATATTCTTTAGAAGTTGGATCTTTTTCCTTTTCTTTCTCCTACCATTAACTTTACAGAGTTTGAACATTTTTCTTAATCACCAAAATCAAAAGGTACAACTAGGATGTATGGGTAACCTATATAATTTGAAAAAAAATCCCTCTAGTACTTCTCAAAAAATATCAATAACAAACTTTGTCAAAATATAAGATGGCTGTCTGTCAACCATTTTGTATTACTTATCAGACTTAAAATTAAACAAGTGTAACAAGGAACCAAAGGGAATGCCTATTGGTCATTTTGTTTTCTCAATCAGACTTGAAATTGAACAATTAGGGACTGTTATTAGGCCATGTATGTAAAGTTTCTCAAAAAAGAGCAATAACATACTTAAACTGTCAAATGGTGGCCATTTTGTTTTCCTGATCAGTCTCAACATTTAATGGGCACAACTGTCAAACAGTTTCATCATTAAATTTGTACAATTAGAAACACAGGGAATCTGCATACAAAATTGCCAACAAGTCAATGCAGCTTAGTTTAGCCATATAAGGTATATACCTGTTCAGTCAATTTATGAACAATGGTCTTGTCATTGTCCTATTATAAGTCCATCCCCTGATTTTGAATCAGAGGTGTTGGCCCTGTGTAGGATAGATGTGAGTAAGAGCCATTCAGTATTTATTGATAAACTGAACGAATTTAACAAGGACGGAGCACTTATTAAGGGACGAGCCAAAATACAACAGAAATCTTATCATTCTGAGAAAATTTAATCAGTAACAATGTTTTTATTAGAATCTATTGAAAACTACACATTGTAAAGTATGTATATATATAAACACTGCAATTTGTGGAGAACAACCATAGAAATATTTGAACACTTTGCTGATCAAGGTGTCAAAATACACAGAAAACAAAGCAGATATTATATTTAAATGATTACATAATTGGCAACAAGGTTAAGCCATTTTAAAAATACTCCGAGAAATTTTGACATTTCTGGCCGTTAATTGGAGGAGACTTTATTGTTAACAGAACTAAATATATCAATTTCGTAAGGTATACACAGAGAAGGCATAATAACAAAACAAAATGACTCATTTTGACTTTGCATCCTCTGCATCTCGGCAGAATGTGCAGCATGAAAAAAGCATCACAGTATTTGGTTTATCATAAAATATATAATTTCTTTTATCATCACTACACTGAAGATCATTAAAATTCTTGTCCAAATGATGATTGCTTGCTGACACATGTATTTCACCTTTCTGTACAACCTAAAGGTCCCAAATCTACAGAGAAGTTTACAGTCAGGTAAAAGATTACTTTGTTTTAACTAAGAAAGATGCCTTTACCCAGATAAATTGGGTCTACGTCACTGAAATCAGGATCCCACATAGTGCTAGAAAAGTAATTCAAAATTAAGTCACTTTGTTCAAGATTCTGCTAAACAAAGCAATATTTATCTTTGCTTCATAAATATACTGACATTTACATGTAAAAAAGAAATTATAATCGAGACTGACAGAGGTTTAGTCTTAAAGATGAATAGTATAACTAAAAGCAATCAATAAAGAACGTTTGAATTTAACAACCATAAAAGAAGCAATACGGTGTTATAAGACAATACACAACAAGTGATATCACAGATTGTTAATGTACACAATACTGGAAAATTTCACATTCTCTTTTATGAACAAGAGTATCAGTGAAACTGATTCATGCTCCCAGAAAAACAACTTTATTGGAAACAAAATTTGAACAAAGGGCAATAACTCTGTAATCAAGAGGTTGAGGGCCCTGACTCTGATACACTGCACATCGTCTCAGTATAACCTATGAACAATGTAAACACCAGGTTTCTTTATCCTAGTTTAAATGCATGCATAGTTATGCTCTTGACAGACCATTTTATCAAAAATCAGTGACAACATAAGGGTGAGAAAACCCTGAATTTTGTAAATTAACATTGCCTAAATAGGAACAATGTAGACACCAAGTTTCAATATCCTAGTTTACTTACAAGCACAGTTTTACCCTGGACATGATAAATTTTAACAAATGGCAATAATTCTGTAATAAAAAGAATGTGGGCTGTGATTTTGGTACACTACAAATTGTCGTAGTATTATCAATGTATACACCAAGTTTCATTATCCTAGCTTAAATGCAAGCAATTTAAAGTTTATGCTCCAGACACAAAATTTTAACAAAGGGCAACAACTCTTAATTTAGGCTTGTGGTTCCTGGATTTTCTACAATGCTCATTGTCTTTTTATACCCAAAGTATACACAAAGTATCAAGGTCCTTTCTTAACTGGGAGCAAAATTTTATAAATATGCTCTGCAAACAAATGGGCAGCAACTATATGCTGCGATGGAAATTTTCGTAGAGCATAAAAATCAGAATATCAGATTCAAATTTACAGAACATGTGTATCTATATTTTGTTATATGTATATATACCTGTTATGCTTAACAAGAAACCATTTTGAATAGGCAGCTTTACATGGTATTCTACCATTTTATCCTGTTTTCTGGCATGTATCACAAAACTGATTTTAAAAACGACTTAAATCATATCATCACTGGAAAAGTTATCATAAACATTTTATCATATTTGTTAATTCCTGTATTTCACTGGCAAAAATGTAATAAAATGCTGTAATTCATAGTTAGTACAACTGCAATTATAATCAAAACAAGAGAGACCATTGTATGATCTCGATCAGTTCTTCATAAGGTTGAGCTCATTCTTTTCTTCTGAACGTTGTAAATAAGGCACAAAGTGAAACCTTCATATGTAGGCAAAGATGCTTTCAAGTATTTCAAGAAACAGTGATAATTGATCACCTATCAGACTTTCATCAACACCAAAATGGACAATGCATAAAAATGGGGATCTTGATCCCTACAAAGAAACACCAATGAACACAATGAAAAACTATAGCTCTCACAATCCACCATGGCATTTATTTTCTTGATCAGTTCCAAAATGGCTGATGCCAAAATAGGGTACAGGGGAAGCCGACATATAAAATCTGAGAATGATTCATCCACAACTTCTCAAGGAAGAGCTATACCAAACTATTAATCTAAAAGTCTTCAATGGCTGTTTGACCGCCATTTTGTATTTCAGTCAGTTTTAAAATGAACTAGGGACAAAGAGAAACCTAGAATCATATATGAATTTGAGAATTATCCTTCCAGCACTTCTCCCATATATAGTGATAACAAATTATTACTATCTAAATCCAAGATGGCCGCCTGTCGGCCATTTTGTTTTCCAGTCCCCAAATATACATTGCACAAGGGATTAAGGAAAGCTACAAATGAAACTGAATTGGAGCATTATCCATCCAAAATCCTAGAAGGCCACCTATCTGCCATTTTAATATTAAGATCTGTTTGACAAACAGACAATGCATAACTAGTGACCAAAAGGGAACCTACCTATGAAATTTGAGAAAGATCCGTCTAGTACTCGTCTCGATATAGCGATAACAAGTACTGTAAACAAAGTATGGACGATGGATGAAGGTCAATTTGAACAGCTCACCATCTGATTATTATATATGTAAATGTCATCAACATTATCAAAGAACACAAATAAAACAAGAATATAATATGTACTAGTATATATATATACAATGTATATGAATAAGTATTTGAAAAATATTTATCTGCTATCAGAAATTTTTTTCTTGAAAGACAAGCCATCAAGTGAACTTTCATTTGTTCATACACTAATAAAAACTAGAAAAAAAAAAAACGTCTGTAACACATGCATAAAAGGATCACTGATGAATTTGCAGTAGTTTTCAAACATGACCTTTGAACCTTAATCTTGATTATACTATGAGGTAAACATGAATTAATCTAATCTCTAGGTATGATATTAATTAATGGGATGTACAGGATTAATATTTTGGTAACACTATTCCCATGTAATAGAGGGAGCATAAAAATGAATTGCATTATGGTACTTATATCATCACCTCTGAAATCACAAAATGTATCGGACCTACATTTCAATTTTCTCACACAATTCTCTTAGCTCATATCTCAACCAAATAACACAATACAGTACATGTACCACACTTGGACAGGTGGTGTTCTAAATTTTATGGGTTTTTTTTTAATTTTTTTTTTTTTTTACCAATTTCAGTTTCATTTCTTTTTTTAGTAATGCTGATTAATTTGGCAATATCAATGTTACAGAGTATGAGTCCTTTAAATCTTTTCTGACAAAAATGAAGGAAAAGTTTGAACATGACTTGTAGCAATACCTGATATACAGTTAAATAGAATCATGATGGTGGTACATAAACATTTAAAACAAGAAAGTCAGCATTCATATGAATCATGTGCATATTAGATATTTTAGTTTTGGACAAGGAAGTTACATTCAAATATGTTAACAATACTAGAAAACTCATAATCTAGACGTTTTGTCAGAAAACGGATGTGTTAAGATTATTATGGATCCACTATATAAAGTTATCAAATTTTTTAAAGTGCTCCACAATATGTCTTGACAAAGCTGCAAATCACGATGGAAATTTTACAAATCTACATTGTCACATATACAATTCATTTTGTAACAGGATCCAGTGTAATGAGATGTTTACTGTTAGTGTTGCATTGTGCTTCCTGATATTCTAATTTGGAGTGAAATCAACGTATATAATCAGCCACACTGTATCACAATGCAAGACCAATGAGGTCATACTTATATCTTCTATTGTCATGCATGTATAAAAAATTCAACATCAAGTAAAATACATTGTAAAGATAAACAAATGAGAGCATAAATTACTCTACTACAGCAAGAGGCCTATAAGGCCTCCCCACCCCCTCCTTCACCTGGCTTTGTTTGCCTGAATTGTTTTATTCTACAAGAAGAAGAATTCTGAAAAATTAAATCCATTCCCAATAGCACCCTGCCCTCTACCCCTCCAGGGGGTCAACTAAACCATTTATACAAAAGCCTCCTACACCCAAACAAGCTTCAGACTTTATCCTACCGTTTCTACAGAAGTGGGATTTTACAGAATATGCTCATTTTCCCCATTGGGACCTGCACATTTCTCTAACGGGGTTGACACCCACTGTTTGTTCAAAATTGAGTCCCCTTCACTGGAGGATGTTTCAGGCAAAAGTCAGACAGATCCTAGCATTCCTACAAAGAAAGGAATCTAGGCCAGGTGATCTATCAAAACGAAGCACATTTTGCATAATTGTCTTATGAGCTACCAAAGGTCAGCAGTAATAACTATACAATTATATTCTAATTATAGGGAATAAAAATATAACTTAATTTAAGGCACTAAATATATGTATTCAATACACAATACAATGTCAGTTGTTGATATCACATAATACACCAATTATTTCCAATAATTAAGTTTTTCACATCAAACTGGAAAATACCTGATTGTATATGTTTTTATATTGCATATACATGAGCAGCAGTGTTATCCAAACAGTATTTTTCATTCCTTGGGTTATCAATACACACAGTGACTTGCTAATTGGTTTCGGTCAATGTGATTATAGACCTGTCATAGTTAACACTCCAAAACATACGAAATCTTTTCTAAACAGAAAAGGTAGGTCCATACATTCACTTTGTTGTACATTTAAAAACTTGTGTGCCCCTGTGTTAACACAAATCCTTCAGAAGTTCTGCTGAAACATTTTGTGTAGTTTGCTTTCTGTCTTTCCTTCTTTGAAAAGATATCAAAATACTACCAGGAAACAATTATCAAGATATCTTTTAATCGGACATTTGTAAGGAGAAAAGACTCCTTAAAGACCGATTCCTGTCATTCTTCAGCGGTCCAATAACCATATATAACATTTTAATCAAATATTTTTACCAGTTCATCCATTTTCTTGGCACATTTACATGGCATTATTTGTATACTATGAAAACTTTCTCAATTTCACCAAAGATTGCACAGATATCTAATCCCCGTAACAGGAGAAGTTTTCTACAGTGTTTCATATAATTAGATTTCACAGTACTTTATCAAGGTGTCAAAAATAAACATACACTGTTCAATGTAAAATTCCTATGCTTACAAACACATTATAAAAGGTTGTTAAGAGATGAAGTAGGCATAGCCAAAGAAACATCACACATCAACACCAGACATCTAACTTCTGTGTATAATTGGATTAATAACTAAATCCTTGACATCAGGAAGTAAATTGTAAGTGATGAGCTGGTAATGTATTATTACAATATTACAACTCACAATTGAGATGCTACTACTGGGGATCCTTTGCTTAAAACAGAAAACTTCCCAAATTCACATCACCTCTTATACACTGTGACTGTGTTTACTCTTCAATGTTTCTTCTGAAGTTTGTCTACATGTAGATCAAAATTCACATCGTTACACATTATGCCTTCCCTGTCTTCATGATCAGCATTTCACCTGATTTTCCTCACTCCTCAACATGTTTATCCTCCACAACCTCCACATCCCCCTCCGCCACAGCCCCCTCCTCCACAGCCCCCTGCTCCTCCATCGCCACCACCATCTCCCCCACCACCACCCCAGCCCGCATCTCCTCCGCCCCCATCTCCACCACCCCAGCCTGCATCTCCTCCACCCCCATCTCCACCACCCCAGCCTCCATCGCCACCCCATCCCCCATCACCACCCGAGCCCCCACCTCCTCCCCAGCCTGACCCGCCGTCATCTCCCCCTCCCCCACAACCTCCACAACCCCCACAACCACCTGTGTCATCCCCCTCTAAGTCAAAATCAATATCCCAGTCATCCTCCTCCTTTTCTTCTTCCTTCTCACTGTCATCAATTTCTAGTTGAAGGTCAAGATTTCCCCGAGTTTCTCCATCTCCTAACTCTGTGTTTCTCTGGAGTGAATCTTCTCCATCATCATCACTGCCATCACTGAAATCCTGGTTGCCATGCAGGAAGAAGTGTCTGGACTTGTGATGTCCAAACTTGTGCCTAATGAAATGATTGCACGGTGTAAGCATCAGCAATCCCATTCCTACAAGCATCACATGATCTTCAGATGGAACTTGCTGGATGCGAAGTCGTCCTCGCACTTTTGTAGGTGTCAGTAGTGGTTTTCCAGGTTCCCAGTCTTTTGGTCGAGGCTGACAAAGAACATGGAGAAGAGAGACACTAAAAACAAGTCCTAGGTTCTCAGCCATTTCTGTAAAGTTTTTCTTGTAGGTTATTGTCCCATCTGATAATTCCATAGTAACACCATCAGTTTTCACAGTGTATTGTTCTGAATGATGATTCATTACCACCTCAGCTGTTGTCCACGCCTTCGTAGAGTTACGAAACACTTTAACCGCTAGGTAACCTTGACTTCCAGGTACCCCTTGCTTACCTATTCAAAACGAGACAGAAAATTGTTAAATAAGTACACTTTTGCACTGCATTAATTCTGAAGACCCAATATCAGTGGTTACCACTTTTACATAGTTTAAGCTCTTGCAGTATTTGAAGTCCACCATTTGATGAGAATAGTTCGAAGTGAAGCAATGAAGTTAATATACCGTTTTCAGGATGTTTCAATATCCTAAGATTTTGATTCTTATCTATTTTTTACACGTGCTTTGCAGAATATTGTAGATTCGCAATAAAACATAACAAGAGATCCCAGAGAGATATTGACACCCACCATTGTTTGATCTTTATTTGCTCTTTGAAAGTTGGATCTTTTTCCTTCTGTTTTTGATCTTAATGGTAAGAAATTTGAAGATTCCTTTGCAGAACTGGAGATGATGATCTTTACCTACCAAATCTAGGATAGTCGCCTGCATGCCATTTTGTTCTTTTCTGATCAGTCTCAAAATCAAATGGGTAGAGACCAAAGGCAACATACGTATGAAATTTGAGAAAGATCCATTCAGTGGTTCTTAAGAAATAGGAATATCAATCATTACTAGGCAAAATCCAAGACTGCGGGCTATCAGCCAATTTTGTTTTTCTGATCAGTCCAAAACACAAACAGGCACAACTAGGGACAAAGAGGTACCAAGGGAAATCTACATATAAAATTTAAGAAAGATCCATCCAGTTCTCCTCATGTGATAACAAATTACAAAGAGACAGATGGACCACAGACTTAGGGCGATTTGAATAGCCCGCCATGTGATGATGATGATGGGCTAAAAAGCATTTCATTATAGTTAAATACCTTTAGTTCCTGGGATGCCCCGCTTTCGACCAGTCCAATTTGCTACTACTATCCCCCAGTCACCTTTATTATTCTTGATGAGTATGGCCCGTTCACCCTTTACAGGGTTTAGCACTGCACATGCATCTTCTTTATCCACCTGTGCAGTAATCAAAATTCTGAATACATCTTTTACTTATGATAGTTCAAATTTCCACAGGCTTTTCAAAGCTTGAAGCAAACAGGATGCATTTATTGTGAAGGTCATGAAATGGACAACAGTTTTCTTTATAAACTTCATATTCAAGGTAAACCTTTTTTTTGTGAAACTTGCAATCCTCATAGTTCATACTCACAGACATACTGTATAGTCTGATATATTTACGGTCACACAAACAAAATTCCATTTTGTGAAATATACATGTAACCTGTGAATAGACATTATCAAAACATATAACATATAAAGTCTATACTTAAGTATGTATACCAATGTGACCATACAATTAGACAAGGCAATGATATGCAAAATCTGATTTCCACAAACTAATACAGAATTGACGAAACCATAAATATCAGCTGCCAAAAATTTACAGTATTGTACAAGTGTATATGTCTAACATACTTAGAAACCTTAGAAAATACAAGAAAATATCACAACTTTACCTGAGAGGGTAGAGGCAACTGGTCTGTGCTGACTAGATGACACACTACTGCCAGTTGGTCCTTATAATAGATCTGGATTGCAGAAGTTAGCAGGGCTACGCTGTGTATTACACGACAAGTAAACATCACCTTCCCCTCAGTATTCCTTATCCTGTCAACATACAACAAGGAACAAATAGGTAACACTTTGAAAATGAGGGAGTCTCTTAAAAAGATAAAAAAAAATAGGAAGGCATGTATATGTACTATGTAAATACAAATATTATTTCTCACATCCTCGGTGGTACATGTTTAATCACACTGAAGATGATGAATCATAATAAAATTGTGATTATCTTTAGTAACAACATGTCAATATTTCCTTTACTGAGTCATTTTAACTGTAAAGGAGGTTGTGAATTTTCTCCACTGATGAGGAAGGCAAATAACTTCATGTCTGATGGAATAGAAAAACCAACCCAGACTGTTCTTATACATAAACACAAGTCACAACCTACCTGTGTGATGCAACTGAACATGAATTCTGTTGACCAGGTGGAAGGCGTGGTAAGGGAATGGGGCCCCACAGTTGCTCCAATGCTTCAGGCATGACAGCATATTCAAATGATCCTAACAATACACTGAGGCGACACTGGGAAATCTTAGTAATCTCGACATTCTGCTGTAACTTCAAAATGGAACCGTCTGACATTTCACATACAGTTCCAACGCTCGTCACCTTGTCAGTATTGGCTAAACATTTTTGCAGTATTGAATCCACTCCAAAATTTCCCGTGATTCTAGAAGTTTTTCCTGTGAACTTTTTCACAAACCCTGTTTTTCTACTTATTCTTAGATCAACTGTTTTGCTAAAGTAAGTGTCAATTTCGTAGTTTTTGTTGTTTGCAGCTAAATTTGTTTCATTCCAAAGTCTATGATCATGCTCATGTGGCTTTTTCAATTTCAACAATTCTAGGTCTATTCCACCTTCAAGTATACTGATAAACTTCAGATTGTTAATTTTTTTAGCATGCATAGCTTCATTGTCCATATCAATGCTTTGAATAGTAAAGTTTGCAATCTTTGTACACTCTCCATAAATTTGTATCATGGGGATTTCACGTAACTTGCCTGCAGGCGAATCACCCCTGTACATGGCTCCAAAGTTCGAAAAATCTTCCCCGAACATTTCTCGCCAACGTGCTCGTGTCTCCCCGCTGGCTGTACATAGTTTTGATCCCAAACTCCTGTCGTTGACAGAATCATCATGATTGAAATGAGTTCCAAGAATTCTAATTGTATCTTCTTTATATTTCACAGGATGTAGTTGATGTGTATGCCAGATTAGGTCTGTGTCATAACAGGGTACAATGAAAAGGTCAGGATTCCTTTTCTTCAAAGACAGGAACTTTTCATAGCGTTTCAAACCAGCTGACACAAACTTTTTATCCAGATAATGTGGAAGAGAAACTTGATAATAGAAAGCTCTCTGTCTCCCGACCGCTTTTTCCAGATCATAAGAAAAAGAGGATGTAAAATCTGTATTTGAGCAGCTTGCTTCATCCAGACAAACTGCAAAAGGTTCACCAGGGTACATCTCTTCCCAATAAGACCTGGCCAGGTCCATATTATACTGGTTATCTCTATTGTTGAGGAATATCTTGAAGTCCACTACACACCCCACAGCTTTCTCACAGTCCCTCATGTAGGCCACAGGTGCCAGCATGTGGCAGTGCCAAACCCAGGCTATATCGAGCGGAGCCACCAGTGTATTTTTGTTGTGTCTGGCCGCCAGGGGTAGCCATAGAGATTCATACCTGCAGTTTAAAAGCACAATGTAAGATGAAGCTGAATATAAGTTTACATAAACTTTATTTATTTACAAAAATTTGTTTGCAAAACAAGTGCATGAGAGGTCTTATTGTGGGAGGAAACCGGAGTACCCGGGAAAAACATGCTGACACTTGGATAAATCTAACAGATATATATACCACTAACGGTATCTGACCTTCCAGTCCTTTGATTGGTTTAGATATCTAACTTTTCTGAGTTATCTGATAAAAAGTATCTTAAATCTTAAGTCACAAGATTTTATGAATATTTCCTAAAAGTTTTTATTTTCAATCACAGAGTTTCACAGAAATGATTACTTTGAGAACTTGATTTACGAAATCCTTATATGAAAAGAAAACTCACTTAACATCACATCAAAATGTATAAATTTCTTTATTTCATTAGGTTAAAAAATACTTCTAATGTGTTTTAATTTTCCAAAACTCTATGCTTATACTATAATTCCTCTGGAGATAGTTAAGAAACTCTGACAAGTATGTATGTACATATACCAGTATAAAAATCACCTGTAAATAGCCCTCCTCACAATAGGACCACTATATAGAGACGGCTGCTGGTCAACTTTCTCCAGAAATTTCACTTCCCTAATGGCTGCCTCTACTAGGTCTATGCCATCAGCAATATGTAAACTGTTGTCTTGTGCCATTTTCTATGTCCTTCTCATCTGTATCATGCTGATTTGTCACGTAAAGAAGCTAGATCAAGTATCATATTTCCTGTAAAATCAAATTTCCTGCTTATTAAATTGAAAATAATGCTGCATTAAATGACGTAAAAGTTTTCCGAGAGATGAAAAGCAAAACAAATAGTCGATCATATCTTTTCATGTTCAACTTCCTGAAAATGAATAATTATATCATGATTATTGTAAAATATTCATTACTTAATATTATTGACTCAGCTGCAAAACTAACTGACGGATATTAATCATGTTAGTGTCTCGATCTGGATGCTTTATAAGCTCTGATGTGAAATAGCAAAAACGTAAATAACATGATATATATGTTTATGGAAATATCTATCACAGTTTGTCAGCTGAAATACTGCAAAAAGTCGCAATTAAGCGAAGCCTACCATTAAGTGATTTATCATTTTGGCTATATTTTCCCATGACACCGGTTACAAAACAAATAACTGAGCTGATAAAAGTTTTACAAGTCATTATTTTAGCATATCAAACATGTAATTTCGAAACATTCATTCACATTTGTGATAAGATTGGCTATTCCACGTCTGATCTTTCAATTGTATGAAGAAACAGTTGTGAAATGTCATTCGACGCGACGTTACGACAGCTGACTGTCCGTGACATTTCGCAAAACTAGCGACTTCCTAGTTGGACAGTAGTATGCAACAAACCTCGTTCTAACATGGCTTTCCCAGATTTTCGTTCAAGGACACACCTACAAAATCTTTGTTATCGTAGTTAATACGCTTTTAGGTTTGTGAATTAAATGGCATAATAACTTATAATTCTGGTTATCACATGAGGTTTTACCTGCAGGTAACGAGTGGGCCCTCTTAATTGGTACAATTTGGAATTTTCCGAAGTCAACGTAACGTCGGTTGCGACCACGTAAATTCCTTCGCCTTGAATAAAATGGTCGTCAACTTATCAAGTTCTCGCTGATGAAAATAACCTTAACCGATTTCTTGTCCGAATTTTCTCGGTATTTGATGCATCTTGCTAATAGAGTATGAAAATGCTCTTCGGCGACAGAACATTAAGTAGGAAGCGAACCAAGTAGCTCCGGGTTTTTTCAAGTTAGGTTGCACACCACTAATTTGGACCCTTTATCAGATTTATGTGTATATACCACCGACACTAAAGATATTTGTCATGTAAGTGTGGATTTAACAGGGCCGGTGCCCTATATATAGTCTTAGATATTACATTATCTTAGGTAATGAAATCACAGACAAATTATTTCAGCGAAAATAAATATTCGTTTTGAGTAAAAAGCATATTTGAATAAAAAAATCTTAATATCAATTAGAACGCATTGAGAAGAGATAGTTTTATTCTATGAGCTGAATAATTGAATTGTAGCGAAGACTTGAGTGAATGATAATGCAAATGGTTGCAAGTGGAATATATTTTATGGTTAATACACATGTACAGCAGCTAACTTTCCAGTGCGCTTGTACTGTGCAGCGGACCTTTACAGTGCTTTGATCATTAATGGAAAATACCAGTCTAACACACATATACCTGATAATATGCTGCTCTCATCAAGATTGCACATCATCAAATCCCGCGCCTTATCTTGATAATATAATAGGTTTAAACAATATATATTATAATAGTTTGAAGTGCAAAAATATATAATCAATTAATTAGCCGACATTTATTTTGGTTGTTTGCGAAATTGGTTCCGCTTCCAAAAGAATGACAGAAAAAAAAATTCAATGCACTTTAGAACTGTTATGCATTATTTAACAATGACGTTATGGGCATGTAGCACGTTGCAGGAACACAGATATTCGTCGGTGTGACATAAAGAAGAATCTAGGAGACGGGAAACCAGCCAACCAGTCATATGGTTTGCCATTCCCATCGCCTTTTAAAAACATGAATAAATTACGTATATGTGCGCGGGCCTCGTTCTTTCTGAGGATGATGAGGTATCAAAATCTACTGACATACCAAGGTCCACTTAAATGTTAGTCCAAATTATTCTGACGTTCTATTGGTTTTTATATATCGTCGAAAATGAATGTTAAAGTCGAGGGTTTTCTCTCTCACAGAATACGTATCAAACAACCCTTGCACTTAGTAACTATACTTCCGGTTACAAACTTTAGAACCGAACCGTTAGAACTATCGGCAGTTTTAAAATCTGTTATTGTGTAAGTATCTCGTGCTAATCAGGACCTTGGCCACTTTGGTCAATTATATTGTATACTATGTAGGTACGTACCAAGCTAGTTAGAAAATGATGTACATACAACCCTAATCTGGTCCATTGAATTGGTGTACAATGTAGAGACAATGAAAAACTGCTGGACATGTTTTGGCACAGAGTAAATAAACACTTTTTAGACTTAAATGTATTAATTTCCGTCAGATATTTCATACAAAAACGTTACAAACAACCATAAAAGCAGTGTTTACTTATTTTTTCCTAATGTCGATTTGTTTTAAATCTATCTTGTCACGCAGAATTGTCACGTGATAATTTGTTTAGCTTTTTATATAGATATACACTAAGTAATTTATTTTCAACACACGGCGGCCTGAAGAAGTGATAATTAGGAACCCCGATTGTTTTCCACTTGTATACTTTCATGTCTTTTCCGACCTCTGTCTGCTATCTAGTTTGTATTTTTATTTTCCTAAAGGCATTCGAATTGTGCATTGAAAATGCATTTTCGTCTCTCTGATCAAACAAGAAATAGTATTGTGAAGCGATCGTGCAGTGGAGCAACAGACATTTTACCTGACCGATGACTCGAGATGAAGAGTCTGTATACTCTCTCATCAACAATTTGTAAGGCCCGGGGAATTAAAAAAAACGTAACCAGACCAACCGGTCAATATTCTCGTATAGATGACAATGCACATAATGTAGTGGTTTGTCTGCTTATGTACACGCATAAAATTATCATTAGTTAATAACATAACAAGAGTCCCGAGGGGTCTTTAAAAGAACTTCCATTCCCCCTATTAGGCCCAAAATCTCTGAAATATATATATATATATAAATCAATTAGGTTGATTGTAACAATGCATGCTTTAAAACGGATCGAGAAAGATTTTAATGAGTTTCAGACTAAACTGGGACAAATCAACATCTAAGCACTTCTACAGAAGAAAAAGCATGGGACTGCGACCTATTGTTTATGCAAAATTGATTTCCCTTCACCCAAGAATGCTTCCAACCAATTTTTGGCAAATTCTATAGAAGAAGCAATTTTAAAGAATTTCCCTACTGGGCTCAACTCACAGGCCCAAGAAGCAATATTTATACAAACTTGGTTCCCCTTTACCAGAGGATGCTTCAACCAAATTTTATCAAATTCCGTTCACGACTGGTAGCGATTTTTTTCAGTAAAGAAAAAAAGACGAACTTGCTACGGCTGCCGCACCATATGACATAAGCTCACTGGCCTTTCGGACCAGGTGAGCTAAAAACCATATCTACATTATGTATCACTTATCAGAACAAAGACATGTTTGTGAAATTAGGTAACCAACATTAAATATTAAACAAAAACAAAATCGTCTTCAAAAAAATATCTTTATTTAAAACGTGTTGAGATTAGAGCTAATGTTCACGTATAAAATAAAGTGCGAATTATCTTACTGATAAATAAGCGTGGATAATACGAAAGATGATTCTAAAATTCAACAGACATGTTCTCCTAAACACTAGAATTGGGAGGTCCAACAATTACATCTCAAGAGTATCATTTCAAATTCCATGAGTATGAAAGTAAGGAAGAAAAGTACTTGCAAGCAAATTTGATTCTTTTTTCACTTAACTCAGACTTTGTTTTGAACCTTTTGCACACAATCTGTTTCTACCGGACAGAAAATTAACGATGTCTACAAGAATAATGGAGCCAACGACACTGGCGAGAAGTAACGATGCCACGAGACCGATACCCTGGGAGGATGGTCGCTTATCAATGGCACTGCTAAGCTTTCTCTTCCAAGCCGACGTTACTGTCTTTTTGACGTACAGTTTTTGTTTTAATTCATGAACCACAGCCTTTATGTCCTCAAGTGTTAAATTCTGAGGACCTTTCTGTCGCTTGCAGCATGCATCAGAGCAGTTCTTTGAGATTGCATTTGCAGACGCCGTATCTGTCTGTGCTTGTTGGATGGTGACCATGGGAAACTATAAGAACAAAAGTATCTTTGTCAGTGACTACATAAATCAAAGTATTGGAAACCAGTCTTGATATTTAACAACATATATATATGATACTATTTATGACGTTTATTAATGATAATAGTGCTTGTAAGATTTAATCAACCATGTGTTAGGTATTAATAATAATGCATAATGTAACCACATTGTATCAAAAATTGTACAAAAGACATACAAGTGAACAGCACATTTTGATACAAAAGAATTCGATATAGTTGCTCCAAATAATCAGTTTAACTGCACCATGCCGTTGTTTCGTCGTTCTACAACCCGTCAGTGATGCTAAGGGCATATTTTCTTAAACTACGAGGCAACTGAGGATAATAAAAAACGGTACTAAAGAAAGTTTTAAAAAACCCCATATTTTAATTAATTTTATTTGTCTGATAATTTCACAAGAACGTCAAGTACACTGTAATAGGTATATCCTAAACCATACTCCAGTGCTTGTATGAATTAAAACATGGTATGCATATTACGGTCAACCTCGGCGACTAAAAATGTACAAAAGACACATATGAATAGCATCTTTTAATACAAGCAGCCGTTTGGGATTTTAACTATAAACGTTTTCTGTAGCTGTTTCTTAAGAAGGCCTGAATGATCGTTCTCAAAATTTCATGTGAAGTTTCCCTTTTGTCTTCAGTTGTGTTAATTTGATTTCGGGAGTGATAAGAAATATGCAGTGGCAGACAGACGGCCATTTCAAATTTGATAATTGATGTTTGTTCACTCTATTTGTGGAGAAGAAATGGTTGGAGCTTAGGTTTCGATCAGTCCTTATATGTGCCACGTTAATTTTGGAACTGATCAGAAATACGGTCGACAGACAGACATACTACAGGGAAGATTGTGATCTCTAGATTTTGAGAGAATCACATGGATCTTTCTCAAATGTCATATGGAGGTTTGAAAAAGTATTTGAGCGTGAAAAATTGTTATCGTTATTTCTTGAGGACTAGATAGATCTTGCCAAATTTTCATATGTATGTTTCTCAAGGGCCCTAATTGTGCCCTTTTTGAAATGGCCGAAAGACGGCCATCTTGAACTTTGACAATGAAAGCTTATCTCTAATTTTTTGAGAAATACTGGAGGTGTCTTTCAAATTTCATATGTTGGTGCCCCGTAGCGCCGAGTTAGTCCTTTTTTAGTTTGGAACTGATCAGAGAAATAAAACGGCAGACTTGCGGCAATACTGGAAGTTGAAAAATTGTAGCTTGATATCGCTATTTCCGTAAAAGGAATGAATATATCTTTCTCAACTTTATACGTAAACACAAATAGTTTCACTTCATCTAAAGCCGCTTCGGATCTAATTTGTTCAAATTCCGCTCAACCATTTATGGCTAGTAGTGAATTTAAGGAAAACAGGTGGAAATACGACGGATGGACTAGAAGTCTTCCGGGTCCATCCTAGTCACTTGATATTTCTTGTAGTATTGGGGTACGATTATGTGATTAACAACCTGATATTGAAGCTTGATCATACCAATATA